CTGGTGGATCGCTCAAGGTCAGGAGTTTGAAACCAGCCTGAGCAAGAGCGAGAACCCGTCTCTACTATAAATACAAAGAAATTAATTGGCCAACTAATACATATAGAAAACACTAGCCGGGCATGGTGGCGCATGCCTATAGTCCCAGCTACTCAGGAGGCTGAGGCAGGAGGATCGCTTGAGCCCAGGAGTCTGAGGTTGCTGTGAGCTAGGCTGACGCCACGGCACTCACTCTAGCCTGGGCAAAAAGCAAGACTCTGTCTCAAAAAAAAACAAAAAAAACAGAGCAAACGGTGTGCACAGATTTGGGCTTGGTGCCGGTGGGCTCCTGCGCCGGCCCCCGGCTGGCTGGGAGGGGTCGGCACCCAGGGCGGGGAGACGCGGCTGTCTCGGCCCATTCGCGTGACCAGAGCCGGCACCCCGAGACACCCAGCGCTGGTTCTCCCACCTGGGAGCCTCTGTGTCATTGGTGGCCCCAAAGCCTAGGGGCTGGCGTCGTCCAGCTCCCAGGGAAATCCAGAACCAGGCTCCATGGGCCACGGGACTTGCAGAGGGAACTCGTGAGGGCGACAGGCGGCGCTGAGAGTGCTTTCTGGGAGGAGGCGCTCGGGTGCGGCGTGGCCCGGGCGGCGTGGCCCCGGGCGGGGTGGCGTGTGCCTCTGGCAGGGTGGACACTCCTGGGCCACCCTGGTGCTCCGGCCTGGTGTGGCCGCCTTCCGGGACAGGTTGGAGCTTGTCGTGGCCCAGTCATTCACAGGGGCCGGGGTGTGACCAGGTCCAAGTCACAGCAGGGGCCCTGCCCGAGAGGAGCACCGCCCCGCGTGGCCGTGGGCAACCTCCGTCCCTCTGGGCCCTGCCAGCCCAGCCCAGGAGCCCCGGAGACGGGGAGGGTCCGGGTGGGCGTCCCAGCTGCAGGGGAGCAGCAGAACACGCCGTTCCTACCCCGTTACCTTAACCCATCTCTCGCCTCTTGTCACAAAGAATTAAAGTCCGCAATAAGAGCCCTGAGCAGGCCCTGCAGTCCGGCCCATCAGCGCCGTGCGGGCCATTAGCCGCGGGTGGGGGCATTAATCTAGTCATCTCCCTCTGGTCTCAATGAATTGTGATAAAAATGTCAAACGATTAGATTGTATTGGCCAGCAGCGCGGTGTGATTGAGCAGCGAGGCCGGGCGCGTCCCCTGAATCACCCTGACAGAGGAGCCGGCTCCTCGCCCCGATAAATCCTGCGGGCGCTGGCTGGGCCGTCAGGAGGGCGCGTGGGCGGCCGGCGAGCCTGGCAGTGCGTGGAGCCGGGGCGCGGGTGGGGGGTGGGCGGGCAGCCCCTGGGCAGAGACACCGGGATCGGATCCTGCCCCTCCGAGGGTCTGCAGAGCCGAGAGCCAGACACAGGGCGAGCACGGCGCTCCAAGGACCCAGGTCCCACCCTCTGGCCCACGCCTGCCGCCTTGGCGGGAGACGGCCCGGTGCGGGGCAGAGGCCGGGAGGGTCCGGCAGCAGCCGCTTGTCTGACACTCTGCGGGACCTGCCCTTCCCGGGAACAGCGGCTTTTTTTTTTTTTTTTTTTTTAATAAGGGTGAAGACATATCGAAAATTGATTTCTCTGTTGGAGATGGGATAATTAAACTGGTTGTTTCTACCTTCATCATCGTCATAATAAAACGAGAAGACAGCAGGTTATGCGCGGCGTGAGGCAATATCGTGAGCCGTAATGCCAGGAGCGTTAATTGAATACAGATGGCCTTCCCTGAAGTTGCTGAGTTATATTTCAGAGATATGGGATAATGATGCCATTTAATCATTTTTACAAGATATAAAATTACTGGCTCCTCTGGGAAGATCATTAAGGAAAACAATTGTTCATGGCAATTGAAAATAGAGTTTTAATTATTTAATACAGAAATTAAACTATTAGAGACCAGTGCTGGATGAAGCAACTTAATAGAAATTTATATATGCAAGCGTCCGTGAACATTTTAGTTTTATTAACCCACCTAATTCCTTCATCCAAACCGACCTGGAAGGCCTCCTTCAGCCGTGACCGGAGTTTACTGCTCAGTGCGGGGGTTCCTGGGGCGGAAGGGGCCTCCCGTGGGAGCCCCACTCGGGTATTCCAGGAGCGGGGCCGGGAGCCGGGAGCCAGGAGCTGCAGGCAGGTGCGAGGCGGCATGGGGCGTGTGCCTGGGGTGCTGCTCTCCGGGACCGAGGGCTCTGTGCTCCGTGCTCCGTGCTGGCTCTGTGCTCCGTGCTCCGTGCTGGCTCTGTGCTCCGTGCTCCGTGCTGGCTCCGTGCTCCGTGCTGGCTCTGTGCTCAGCCTCTGCCCTGGCCCCTTCCGGGGACAGCTTTGGGGGCAGTCGGGGCAGGACGGGTGGGGCCCTGTCCCCAGCCAGCTGGCTCCTGGGCTCCCACCTTGGGCCCAGGGTCCCTGGCCCAGCCTGCGGGGACCGTCCTGCCGCCCTCCACGCCCGGAGTGGCTGCAGGGCCAGAGCCTGGACGCGGTCGGAGGATCCACACTGGTCCCAGGTGCTGGCCGGGGTGCACTCGAGGGCAAGGGAGGCTTGGAATGAGATTATGAAAATGGAAAATCCTTTACCAGGTTAGGTGAAAACAAGAGAGAGCTGCTGTGGACATGGCACATGCCTGGCCCGGCAGGACCCGGGCAGAACCAACCCCACTCGGCATGGCCTTGGGTGCTGTGTTCGCTACTTTTAGTTATTTTGTTGCTATTTTCCAAATTTCCTATGATAAAACATATTTTTTTAAAATGCTTATTTCAGAGATATGGAAATCTTCAAGACGTAAATTAAGGAAATAAAGGGACTTTTGAAACAAGGAGGCTGACAAGCATGCACTGTTGGATGGGGGGGGTCATTGCAGGGGGAGGCGGAGCCCAGAGACTCTCGGGAGGGAGGCTGCCGGGCTTGTGGGGCCCTGAGGACCCCGAGACACAGAAGCCGTGGGAGGGCAGGTTCTGGCCCAGTCCGGACCCCGGGTGACCCGTTGAAGGTCATGTGAACCGTTCAAGGTCATGGTCTAAAATCCCAGCGCTGGTCCCTCGCCGGGTTGCTGGGCGTGACCGTCCCAGGCGTGAGGGAAGTGTGGTCGCCCCTTTTCGCCCCGGCCTGGGCTGCGCGGCTGGACGGACGCCGCCTGCGAGACTCCGAGGCGCCCGGGGCTCCCAGCCTGCCTCCCGCACAGGGCGATGCGACATCCCGATCGTCGCCAATAAATTCCAGGCGATCTCTTTCCTCCTCATAGTTTTTAGGGTTACATAAATTTCACCTATGCAATTTTTCCATGCCTGAATATATTACGGAATGCCACTTCTGCTAAAGGAGCTAATTGATAATGTGATTTGTTATGTTGCCGGGACATAATTCAGAAAGTTATTTTAGAGCCTTTGATGCATAGAGCGGCACTCACTGTTTAATATTTCTCACGTGAGCGGACACGGCTCGAGGTAAAAAATGGGGAGCCGTGCGGATGAAATATCTCCAGAAGCTTTTATTCTTGTTGTTTGGGCCCGTGCCAGCGTCTTTCTAGAAGAAAGCTCATATTTCCAAAGCTGCTCTGATTTGAATTTATTTCCTGGTCATTAGCCTTTTTTTTTTTTTTAAGCTGGAACAAGTATGTGTATATATTTGAAAAAGGAAAACTCAAATAAAAAAAGGGGAAATTACACACAACCTTTTACTATTATGAAAGATGTGCATCTAAAATTTTTTGTGTCAAATTAATTATAGATTCACAGGAAGTCGCAAAAACAGTGCGACGGTCACACTGGACACAGCTGAGGTCCCCAGCAAAGCCAGGGCTGACCCTGGCGACCACATTTCACGTGTGCGTGTGGGAGCGGTGCCTGTGTGTCCCTGCAGCTGCCTTCACGCGCCACGGTCCGGACCCACCACCGCGTGTCCCTTGAGTCCCCCGCCCCCGTGCTCACGTGTGTCCCGGCAACACCAATTGATCGTCTCCAGGGCCCTGCGTGCGGGGGCTGCGGGGGTGGGGCGTCACTACAGCGCGGCCCTTGGCAGCGTCAGAGTCACCGTGTGGCTGCTGCCAGGGGTGTCGCGCCCCATGGACACGTCCCGTTTGTGGAGCCCATCCCAGGGCATGTGGGTGAGTCCCGTGTTCTGCTGTTACGAACGTTCACGTACACACGGGTGTGAACGTGAGTCCCGGCGTGCAAGTGCCGGGTTGTGGGTTGTGTGCGTCCAGTTTCATGAGAAGCTGCCGAACCGTCTCGCTGAGGCTGCGCCGCTCAGCGCTCCCGCCAATGGCGCGGACCGGCCCCCGTGTGTGCCGCCACCTGTCGTCACGGTGCCAGTGCCGTTGACTTTGTTTGGACCACGTTTTGGCTGCGGCAGACCCTGCGCGTGGCTCTGCTCCCCCCCCCCCGTCTGACACGGAGGAAGACCGGGGGTCACGCTGCAATGACGGTGGTGGCTGCCCGCCCGCCTGCCCTCACACCTCGCCGCCCAGGCCGAGGCGACAGCTGCACCTCAGCCCTCGCGGAGGGAAGGGCAGCAGCTGGCGGGGACACGCGTGGCTGGAAGCTTTGGCCCCCGGGGACCGTCCTTTGCGTGCAGTGGCAGGGAGGGGACGTCTGCAAGGAGGCTCCGTGGGCCCCCGGGGTGGGGGCAGGGCTGCACAGCGCCCCTTGTGGACCCGCGACCGCTGGCCGCCCCAGCCCCTCCGGCCGAGTCGGGAGAAGCCTGGTCAGAAATTCGGGAACGTCACTCAGGAGCCTGGTCCCCCCAGGAACCTGGGCGCGGCGTCCCTGGAGAGCTAAAGCGTCACCGTTCTCGTGGCAAAGGAGCGTCTCCCCACGCCGTCTCTCCCCACCCTGCTTGCCGGTGGACAGGCCCAGGGTCCGGGAGCCCCTGGTTCCGGACACCCCGGCTGGCTGGCCGGGGACCCCACTCGCACTACCCCCTGGGAAGTGCTGCCGCCAGGAGCCCCCAGCCCGGCACCTTCAGTCCCAGAGACCACACCACAGAGACACGTTTTTGTTGTTTACTGAAACACACAACTCGAAACAAAGTCGTGGCCCTGACAGTTTTCTAGGCCACGGAGCAGAGCCCAGCGACTGCCGAGTGCGGCGTGGGGCGGCCCTCTGGGCGTGAGCCGCGCCAGAGCCCAGACTGGGACCGTCCCCAGGGAAAGGCACTGGCGGCCTCACAGGAGGGGCCACCACGCTACCCCAGCCGTGGCCGCCGCTGCGCCCCGAGGGACCGCAGGTGCACGCAGGGCAGGGAGGAGCTGGGTCTAGGCGGCCACGGTCGGCCCTGCTGCCCGGCTCTCCCATGGCCCGCAGACCCGGGAGCAGGAGACGGGCCGGGTGGCAGAGGCGGCCCTGGTGTCCTCGGAGCAGAGCCAGGGCGGTGGGAGGCGCTGAGGCAAGGGCGCTCGGGGACGGCCCAGGCCCCGCACCCGCTAGCCGATGGCTTGGTGCGGCAGCCCGTAGAGGACCAAGTTGAGGGCGGCGGGCAGCAGTTCGGGCCTCCCAGGCAAGGGCGGCGGACGGAGGAGCGCAGGCTTGTCCCGAGAGGTGTGCGGAGCCTCGTCTGCGGACATGGGACGGGCGTTCAGACCAAGGCCCAGCGGGCACAGCTGTCAGCCCCCGGACCTGCAGCCCAAGCCCGAGCCTGAGCAGGGGCGAGGGGCAGACGCTGGGCTCCCCCAGGTGGAGCCACTGCCCTACTCAGTCATTCACTCACTCAGTCACTCATTCCCTCACTTGGTCACTCACTTGTTCCCTCACTCAGTCCCTCCCTCAGTCAGTCACTCACTCACTCACTCAGTCATTTCTTCCCTCAGTCACTCATTCCCTCACTTGGTCATTCCCTCAGTTGGTCACTCACTTGTTCCCTCACTCAGTCCCTCCCTCAGTCAGTCAGTCAGTCACTCACTCACTCATTCACTCAGTCATTTATTCCCTCAGTCACTCACTCATTCCCTCACTCAGTCCCTCCCTCAGTCAGTCAGTCAGTCAGTCACTCACTCATTCACTCAGTCATTTATTCCCTCAGTCACTCACTCATTCCCTCACTCAGTCCCTCCCTCAGTCAGTCAGTCACTCAGTCAGTCAGTCACTCAGCCAGTCACTCAGCCAGTCAGTCAGTCAGTCAGTCACTCAGCCAGTCAGTCAGTCAGTCACTCAGCCAGTCAGTCAGTCAGTCACTCAGCCAGTCAGTCACTCAGCCAGTCAGTCAGTCAGTTACTCAGCCAGTCAGTCACTCAGTCAGTCACTCAGCCAGTCAGTCACTCAGCCAGTCAGTCAGTCACTCAGCCAGTCAGCCAGTCACTCAGCCAGTCACTCAGCCAGTCAGTCAGTCACCCAGCCAGTCACTCAGCCAGTCAGTCAGTCACTCAGCCAGCCAGTCAGTCAGTCACTCAGCCAGTCACTCAGCCAGTCAGTCAGTCACTCAGCCAGTCAGTCAGTCAGTCACTCAGCCTGTCAGTCAGTCAGTCACTCAGCCAGTCAGTCAGTCAGTCACTCAGCCAGTCAGTCAGTCAGTCACTCAGTCACTCAGTCAGTCAGTCACTCAGTCAGTCACTCAGCCAGTCAGTCAGTCAGTCACTCAGCCAGTCAGTCAGTCACTCAGCCAGTCAGTCAGTCAGTCACTCAGCCAGTCAGTCAGTCAGTCACTCAGCCAGTCAGTCAGTCACTCAGCCAGTCAGTCAGCCAGTCAGTCACTCAGCCAGTCACTCAGCCAGTCAGTCAGTCACTCAGCCAGTCACTCAGCCAGTCAGTCAGTCACTCAGCCAGTCACTCAGCCAGTCACTCAGTCACTCAGCCAGCCAGTCACTCAGTCAGTCACTCAGCCAGTCAGTCACTCAGTCAGTCACTCAGCCAGTCAGTCAGTCAGTTAGTCAGTCAGTCAGTCAGTCAGTCAGTCACTCAGTCACTCTACGAGCATTTATTGTTTGGACAGCACACCCCAGGCCCTGTGGACCACGTGATTTTAAATGTTAAACCTTTGGAGTTGTATATATTGGAGATTTCATCATTTTGATACATCCTGGTGTAAAGCATTCTTAGTTACGGAAGAACTTTCCATCAGTGCTTTGCTAAATGCCGATACGTAGTGTTTTGTTTGTGGCTTCTCAGCAGTGTCCCTGTGTGACGTGTGCCTGCAGCTTTCCTGTCACCCCACTAGAACATTCACGCTAAGGCTCATGGGCTCTGCAGGTTGAGTGTGTGACAGGTCATGGCCTGTGTCCCTGCCCGGGCTCTCCCCGAGGGACAGGAGGACAGAGACCGGCAGGCCAATTGCTGACCCGGCCTGGGGTTCACTTCCGGCGCGTTCTTTCCTGGGCTGGGATCACTGGCCACGTCCAGGGTGACTCTGCTGGCGCTGTGGCCCATAGGCCACCCGGCCCAGGTGGCTGAGGCACCCACGAGGCCTTGCTCTGGGAGGAGGGGTTTCCCATCTGTTCCCAGAGAGTGGACCTTCTGGAATTTGGGATTGGTGTGACTTGAATTTCGTAGGGAGAAATTGGCAGCTCTAGCGACTAGAACGTTTCCCTACGGAGTGTTGGCGCCGGGTCCCTGTCGGCCGCTACTGCAGACGCCGCGCTCGAGGCGTTCTCCATCCAGCCTCGTCCACACGCTGAGGCTCCACGGAAACGGGGGCTTCTGGACAGGGACAAGCTCACCCTCTTCCTGGCTCCTAACGTCTTAGAACCCCAGTCTCCTCCACAGGAGCGTGGGGTGCCCTGTCCCTTCAGGGGTCCGTGTGGTGTGAGTGCACGTGCGCCGCAACAGTGCAGCCCAGGCCTCGCCTTACCTCGGTGAGCCGTTTTGTCGCCTCCCGTCCTCTGCAGCATACGGACCAAGGCCCCAACCGGCTTGCCAAACGTCAGCATATCTGGGGAAGGGACGTCTCTCAGACGGGCGCGGATGCCTGCGCAGGCTTGGGGGGTGGCCCTGGGGGCACGGGGGGAGGGGGTGCGCGGCGGCCACTCACCGTCCCACAGCACGCTGGCGCGCCACGCGTTGTCCTGCAGCCGCGTGGGCCGCTGGTTTGCCACGATGGTCTTGACTCCCACCAGGCTCAGCAGGATCGCGGTCGTGATGGGCTGCTCCAGGGACAGCTGGGACGCACTGCGAGGACCCGGCTCCTGTGCGCTGGCGCCACAGACGGGCCCTCTCCTCCCCCACCCTCCCCTCCTGCACCCTTCCGCACCCTCCCCTCCCCGTCTGCAGCCCGACTGCACAGCCGGCGGGGTGCACGTCTGGACAGGCAGCTCCAAACTTAATGCCGTTTAACGAGAAGTGGCGCTTCAGAGAGCTGCCAAACCCTCCCGCACTCCCAGCCGCTGGGTGGAGACTGCGGGGACGCAGCCCTGGAGCAGCGGTGACGGGGTCTCTGCAGCGGCTGCCGCCCCTCTGCCCCCTCCAGCCCCTGCAGGACCCGCTCCACGCTCCAGCCACGCAGGGGGCCTCCCAGGCCAGAGCAGCCCCTCCACTGCCCAAGCACGGGTCCTGCTCCTGGGGGGATGGGGCTCCTCCTGGGGGTTCAGAACGACCCGTCCCTCCCACCCCGCCCTCGCCAGGGAGCACATCCACCGAGAGAGCACCGCCAAGCCAGGCACCTCTTGTTCTCCGAGCGTTCCACGTGCCGCCGCAGGCTGTCTTTGGACCGCGTCTGGTCCAGCAGGACCATCAGGTGGCACTCTGCAGGACACGGGGCACTCAGCAGCTGCAGGCCCCGCCTGCGCACCTGGGCTCCAGTGGGTGGAGCAGACACCGTGGCCATCAGGCACCTTCTAGAGACCCACAGCCACATGTGGACGTGTAGGCCTGACCCCTGCGAGAGCCCCTGCACACCAGAGGGCCCCGCTCGGCCCCTCCCACAGCTCCCCCTGCCCAGCTGAGGGGTCTCAGCTCCCCCATCATGCCTGGAAGCTTCCAGAACTCCATACTGATGGGGTGTTTTGAGGCTGCCCCAGTCCCTGGGGAGAGACCTCGGCTCTGGCCTCCACCTGCCGTGCTTAGGGGCGTGGCTGAGCTGCCCACGGCAGGGCGGGCAGCTGGAGGACCTGTGGTCTGTGTGTTCTGTGGGGGGCAGGCGCAGGGAGGCCACGCGTCCCAGGGCGCAGGAGGGTGGGCCCAGCACACAGGGACGGTGGGCCTCCCTGGCCAGCTGCGCCCACCAAACCAGGTGCCGTGTCCAAATGCACCCCTGGGTGTGGCTGTCTGCTATGAGCGCCACAAATGCAGAGGGGGAAGCTGCCCACTTCCCTGCACCTGGCTGAGGGTGGGCTTTGGGGGCTGTCCCCGCAAACGGAGCATCCGCCTGTGCAGGGACAAGGCTGGTGGGAGGTGGCCAGGCGCCTGGCAAGGCCTCCCATCCGCGCTGCCTCCTGAACTCACAACTGTCTTCTGCTTCACTCGCCATCCCACCATCGTGCTTGGAATCAAACCTCCAAACAGGCCCAATTCGTGAGGAGGCCCAGGCGACGGCCGCACCCATGGGCTGGGCGTCCACCCAGGGCAGGCCTTGGGCCAGGAGGGCCCGGGAAGGAGACCTGGGCTCCAGGGACAGTGGTGGGCATGGCGCCCTGACCACGGAGATGAGCATCCACTGCCGGCTGGGCTGCCACGGACGGGGCCACACACCCTGCAGGAGGGACCTTCTCCAGGGCCCCCCAAAGGCCCCCTGGCAGCCGAGCACAGCACTGGCTGCCTGACCAGCAGAAGGCCAGCAGCCCCACCGGGCACCAACACGGGCACCCTGGGGGCACAGACACCCCGTGGTCTGCAGCCTCGGCGCTCAGACAGGAGGGCGGTCTTCCTGGAGGTGGAACGCCACCACCGGCCCGGCAGCTCGCCCCTGGCGGTGTCTGAGTGCCCTGTGCCTGCTGTCTGCACGGGCCACCCTTAGGCATGGGGCGGGGGACGCATGAGTGGGGCCCTCAGGACACCTGCCGCTGCTGTTCCTGCCACTCCCCCTCCTGCCAAAGCCCCCGTGTCCTCGGCTGGCTGGGCTGTGGCCGTGGCGGGCCGTGGCAGGCACCTGGCAGCCTCCTTTACGGTCAGTGGATGGCGAAAGGGAAGGCAAGGCCACGGGTGCCCACATTTAGACTGGAAGGACTCTGTGAGGAGGAGCCGCGTTTCTAGCATGTTCTAGAAAAGCCCTGGCCTCCAAGGGCCCGGCCCTCGAGGGGAGACCAGCCTGGGTCTGAACCGGGGTCTCTGGGAGACAGAAGACAGGAGGGTCGAAGCGCGTGGCTGCGACCTGTGTCCATCTGCAGAGGCGAAGTGTGGCCGGAGGGGCAGGGCGGGGCGGGGGGGGCGGGGCCGGCCGTGCCCTGCTGCAGCGTCCCAGGCCCTCTGGTCCCTCCCCCAGGTCCCGGTGGCCCCGCTCTGTGCCCGTGCAGAGCCTCCTTGTGCCCACGGGTCCGGCGGAGGGGCCGTGGGGGAGGAGTGCTGCGACCCGTGTCACCTTGTAAGTTCATGGCCACCAGCCTCTCCACGACGATGTGGGACAGGAAGCTCTCCATCCCGTAGAAGAAGAAGCCGCTGCAGCTGCCCAGCGCCTGCTCCCACTGCGCCTGGCTGCGAGACGCAGGGACCCCGGCCGGCGGGCACCACGGTCGGCCTGACCGCGCCCGGGGCCACATCTGCCCCCGCGCCCCGCCCTGACCACACCTGCCCCTCCACGCCACCCTCAGCCCATCCCACCGCAGCGGGGACACACGCGGGCCCCTGTGGCGAAGAGCCGGCCCCTCTGCCCCCACCGGGGTGCCCTGGCGCTGCTGCCCCCACCGGGGGCCGGGGCTCAGACCCTGTGGGAGCCCAAGGTCCCCAGGGGGCCCACCCCTCGCTGGGCCCGGCCGGAGAGAGAGGGGCTGGCTGGGCCCTGTGGCGCCCCGAGACCCACCCGTCCCGGGGACCCAAATCCAAACCTGGGGACTTGGCTGGTCCCCAGATGCCCCACCCATCGCGCGGTGAACGTTTCCCGGAATCGCTCCAGGATCTCCTGGGTCATGAAGACGGGAGTCAGCATCTCTGCGAGGAGAGGGTGGGACAGGCTGTGGGGCGGCGTCCCAGCCTCCTGCCCGGACCAGCAGGGGCGCACCTCCCCGCCGCCAGGAAAAGCCGGCAAACTGCGGTGTCTTGGGCAGCCAACAGCCGGCTCAGGGTCGGACTCCAGGCCCCGAGGGGGCACCGGGCCTGGGCTCGGGGTGGGCCGGGGGCTGCAGTGGGCGCCCACCTGGGCCCCGGGCGTCCTCGTGCGGGTCCACCACGACTGCGCGGCCGGCGTCAAGGAGAACAGCGGGGAGGCTGGCATGGGCCCGTGGGCCGTCAAAGGATACACTTGATGCTGTCCGCGTCCACCACGATGCAGTCCGGCGGGATCGTCCGGCGGATGCTGCCCTGCGAGGGCCGCACGGTGGCACGGTGTCACCCGCCGCCCCTCGTCCCTGGCCCGGCCGTCGGGGCGCCCCTGCCCCACCTTCTTCCCCTTCCTGCTGAGGCTCCTCCTCTTGGTCTCGCGGCCCTCCTTCTTCACAGCGCCGTCTGCAGGACAGGGGACAGGACACAGGCACAGCACATGAGGGTCTTGGACCTGCCGAGCCGCCCACTGGCAGGTGTCGAAGTTTCCGTCACGTGGGTCTCGCCTCAATGACAAAAGTGATTCGTGAGAACAGTCTAACTTTCGTGAAGCTGAGATGGCGATAACCTCTCAAACACGGAGGCTCTCGGGCTGGGAAAGGCCCATCTCCACAGGTGCCCAGCTGCCATTCGCACACCCCGCTGGGCACTCACCAGTGAGCCCGCAGCAGCGGGGCCCTGCGCCAGGGCCGTCTGTGCGGGACTGACGCCCGGTCCCCTTTCCCCGACACGCAACCGCGGCTGGGCCGTCCATCCTTCTGGAGGTTGTGTGTGGCAGCGTGCGCCTGAGAGCAGTGCCGGTCTCCCCCCCTCCACCCCTGCCTTTCACTGCTCCTCCGTGCCGGCCCCAGACGGCAGGCGCAGGTGCAGGGGGCCCTGCGGCCCACATTGCAGGGGACGGAGGGTGCTCGCTCTAGGTTTGGCAGATCCTTTGTCAGGACGGGAGAGTCCCCTGTTCCTGGCTCACTAACAAAGTTTATTCTGAACTTGAGCATTTCAGCAACTGCTTTTATTCTGCACCAACTGAGAGGGTCACACCTTTGTCTTTCACTCCGTTCACCTGTCACCTCTGCGGGGTTTCACGGTTGCTGGATGACGGAAGGTTCTCTCTCTCTCTTTCTCTCCTTCCTCCCCTCCTTTCTTTCGCTGTTCTGAGCAGCTGGAGTCAGACTGCTATGGAAGGATGGGGCTTGTGTCTTTTTTCTGGGTTGGCGGGGAACGAGGCTGCCCTGATCTGAGAGTCTGGTGGAATTCAGCGGGAAAACTGCAAAACTGACGCCTTCTCTGCGGGAAGACTCGCATCTGTGACTCCCCTTTGCTACTGGCTGCAACACCGTCCAGGTTTTCTTTCCTCCTTGAGTCCAAAAGTGTGTTTTTCTTGTCCTTCGCCCATTTTGCCCATGTTTGTAAATATATCAATGCAAAGTTGTCCGGAATATTCTATCATCTTTAAACTTCAGAGACACTTTTAGAGTTTGCATCTCTTTTTATTCCTGATATTGCTTATGTACCTCATTAATTTTTTTTTTTTTGGCCATTATGACAACATTGTGTCTATTTTGTGAGTTTTCTTTATAAACAACCAGTTTTGTCCCTACCAGCCTCTCTGCTGCCCCCACATCCTATTTGGTGATAATGCCTTGTGCACTGCTGCACCGCTCTCCCCTGCCTTTCTCCACTCAGTGCCATGGAGTCCCCCTCTCTGCCAGTGTGCACTCAATGCCACGGGGGTCCCCCTCTCTGCCAGTGTGCGCTCAGTGCCACGGAGTCCCTCTCCCTGCCAGTGTGTGCTGAGTGCCACAGAGTCCCTCTCTGTTGGTGTTCACTCAGTGCCACGGGGTCCCCCTCTCTGTTGGTGTGCACTAAGTGCCACGGGGTCCCCCTCTCTGTTGGTGTGCACTCAGTGCCACGGGGTCCCCCTCTCTGCTGGGGTGTGCGCTCAGTGCCACGGAGTCCCTCTCTCTGCCGGTGTGTGCTGAGTGCCACGGAGTCCCCCTCTGTTGGTGTGCACTGAGTGCCACGGAGTCCCCCTCTGTTGGTGTGCACTGAGTGCCACGGAGTCCCCCTCTCTGCCAGGGTGTGCGCTCAGTGCCACGGAGTCCCCCCTTTCTGCTGGTATGTGCTCAGTGCCATGGAGTCCCCTCTCTGCTGGTATGTGGCTCAAGTGCCACTGAGTCCCCCCTCTCTGCTGGTATGTGCTCAGTGCCCACGAGTCCCCCTCTCTGCTGTATGTGCTCAGTGCCACTGAGTCCCCCTCTCTGCTGGTATGTGCTCAGTGCCACGGAGTCCCCCTCTCTGCTGGTATGTGCTCAGTGCCACGGAGTCCCCCTCTCTGCTGGTATGTGCTCAGTGCCAGGGAGTCCCCCTCTCTGCTGGTATGTGCTCAGTGCCACTGAGTCCCCCTTTCTGCTGGTATGTGCTCAGTGCCAGGGAGTCCCTCTAACTGGTGCTTACTGGATGCACAATGATATATTGTATTTTCATATTTGTTAGGGTCACAATATTTTCCAAATTTCCCTTTTAATTTTTTTCTTTTTGCCGTGGGTTATTTGGAAGAATATTTAGTTTCCAAAAGTATTTGGGGTTTCCCAGAGATTTTTCTGTCATTAATTTCTAATTTAACTCAATCGTGGTCAGAGAACTTACTGTGAGTAATTCGAATCCTTTACAAATTTTGAGGCTTGTTTTATGGCCCAACTTATGGTCTATCTTGTCAAATGTTCTGTGTGCATGTGGAAAAAATGTATGTTCTTCTGTCACTGAGTGGAATGCTATATAAATGTCAATCAGATAAAGTGGCTAAGCTTAAAATATTCCATATCCTACTGATTTCAGGCCTATTTGTTCAATTACTATTGAGAAAGGGATGTTGATGTCTCCAACTATAGTTGCTTATTTGTGGATTTCTTTTTGTAGGACTATCAGTTTTGTTTCACATATTTTGCAGGTAGTGTTCGATGTGTAAACACTGAGGACCTCACATCTTCTTTGTGAATTAACCTCTTTGTCATTACGAATGGCCTCTTCACCCCTAGTCACATTCTTGGCTATAAAATCTACTTTTTTTTCTGATTTCATCTAGCCATGCCAACTTTCTCCGGATAGTAAGATGTTTTCTCCCCTCTTTATTTTTAACACTCCATTGTCTTTTTGTTTATACTGGGTTTCTTGGAGCAAACATATTTTGGGTCTTGCATTTTTATTCAATCAAGTGACCTTCACCTTTTAATCGGGGGTTTTTAGACCATTTACATTTAATGTAATTATTGACACGGTTGGGTTGAAATAAACCATCTTGCTATTTGTTTTCTATTTTTTCTATCTGTTCTTTGTTCCATTTCTCCTCTTTTTCTGCCTTTTTTTTGGATTAATTGTGTATTATGTATGACTTCATTTCATCTTCATTGATGTATTAACTGTAAAGTCTTTGGGTTCTTTTTTGGTTTGTTTGCTGATTTTCTTTTAGTGGCTGCCTGAGGATATCTAGTTTATATCTCTAATTTATCACAGTCTGCCTCTGAGTAACACTAGACCACCTAGAGTAACATCAGACCACCTTACACACAGCATGAAAACTTCACAGTCGTGAACTTCCATCTGCGCCCTCCGCCTTTATACTGCCATTCACTTTACAGTGACATTACAAACCCGTTATTATTTTCTTTTGCTTTAAACTTTTTCCTCAAACATACTTTAAGATCTTAAAAATAAGGAAAAGTTTTAAATATTCACCCACATTTTCACCGTTTCCAACACTTCATTTCTTCCTCTGACCTAGGGGAGCTTCCGCATAGACTGCCTCTCGGCTGAGACTTGAGCCGGATCTTTGCAGATCCCTGGAGCTGGTGCTCTCCCTGCACGGCTCTGCCCTCCCTCAAATCCTGCCGATGGACTGTCACCGCCTGGGCTTCCCCAGCTCCACGCCCTCAACCCGGGCAGCACACCGGCTCCTCCTGGCCATGCTGCCCCGCTGTGGCCAGAAGCCCTTTCCAGAAAGTGCGCTGGGTCATCTGAGGCCGCCTCTCTGGGGACCACTTCCCCGCCCTGCCGATGCCCAGTGTTTGGGAACTCTTGGTTACACGTATGTCGTCTTTTTAGTTGTTTCCGTTGGAAGGGCAAATGTGGCCCTTGTGACTTCATCTTGGATGGAAGCAAAAGTCCAATCTGTTTATTTTCCATTTCACTCGATATTCATTGAAGTGCAGTGTGGATGCAGAAAGCTGCACACACCACAAGTGTGCAGCTCGGAGAATCTTCACACCCGGGTGGATCTGTTGAGCAGCACCCGGAACAGGCCGGGATCACTGCCAAGCTCCCTCCCCCGCCCCGGCGCGGCCCCCCCCCAGTCCTCTCCCCTAAGTGATTCATTGTGCAACTGGCTGTCACCGGCTGCTCTGGTCCCCTCCTTTGAAACAGATGTTTGTGGGGGACAAGAACAGCATTCGGTTCTTCACTGTGCATCTAGCACCTAGCAGAATACCGGCACACAGTAGGTACTATAGTTCGTAAATATCTTTGCTAATGTTTACAGTCCATAAATATCTTCGAAAGAAACAGTCCCTGGGAAAAATTTTGCAACATTTGATAATTATTTTTGGACAGGACTTAACATTCTTTAGTCTGAAAGGTAATTTAAATATTTCCACTTTGAAATCGCACCTACTGCGGCCCGGGGCGGTTCTCACCTGTCTCTTCCTGGCGGAGGCGATTCCACAGCATCTGGAGAGAGAATTCCCGAGACACAGAGGAAGCCACCCCTTCGTCCAGCACAGAGAGACCCTCCAGCGGCAGCTCGAGGAGGGTCCTGTCCGCGATCAGGATCAACTTATCCGAGGCTTCGGGCTGAGCTGCGGAGGGGAGGCCACAGCGGATCTGCTCGGGGAGCCGCCCATGAGGACACACTGACTCTGCCCTGCGGTGGGCGCCCCCCCCCCGCTAGAGGGGGCGGGGCTGGGCCTGGGACACGCCCACACCGCCCCCCCCACGGTCCTGGGCGTGGCTGAGCTGGGCCGGACCCAGAGGCAGCAGCACCACCTGGGGCGCCACCCATCAAAGGACACCCTGAAGACCCCGACGCCTCTTTCTGGCCGTGTGGGGATTCGGGTCGCGCCGTGGGCACAGTGCAGGCCCGTTTCCCGGGCCGGGCGGGAAGGCCTTGGCCTGCGCCAAAGGCCCAAGCAGGAGCCTGGAGGTAGCAGCCCCTGGGCGAGGGACGAGGGGCTGGGAGGACAGAGGCCCACGGACCACAGACGGAAGCTTCCCCGAGCGAGAAGCCAGCGAGCTGCAGGGTCGGTCGCAGGCCTTGGCCTCTGCCCGCGCCCAGCCAGGGTGTGCTTGGGGCGGTGGAGATCCAGTCTCCCACGGAGACTCTCACGACCGTCTTGTTGGTGAGCGCGAGAGGCGAGGAGGCAGCCGGGTGGCTCTGGGGGCTCTCGGGGGTGTTGTACACAGCCAGAGCACCGGCCAGCGGCTGTGCACGGAACCTTCCGGGAGTCCAGTGCACGGGGCGGGGCCGGCGGGGCCTGGGACCCCCCATCTCTGAGCTACTTGTTTCCCCAGGCGGCGAGGAGTCCCAGCCAGACTCCTCCCAGTGCAGGACAGCCCAGGGCGTGGCGGCCTTGCGCCAACCCCACCCGGCACTCACGGAGTCCCCCGGATGCTTTCCTCTCCTTGTCTTTGCCCTTGGATTTCCCAGAATCCGGGGGGACCACGACGGGGGGCATTGGCACTCTGGAAGTCAAAGGTGTGTGTTCGGATTTCAGAAAACAGACGAAAACAGCAGACACCAGAATGTATTTAATGAAACGTCCACTCAGCCGGTGTCACGGCCAGGTGGCAATGCCACCAGCCTCTTCCCAGGGCCGCCTTTGGGACCCGGCCTCACTGAGATGGGGCCGAGCAGAGCAGGATTTGGGGCTCTCTCCCGTCTCCCAGGTAGTGCAGAGTCCCACGTGCCGGCTCCACCCTGCCGGCCGCCAGCCAGAGGGGCCGGGCCTGTGCTGCCCGCGGGGAGGCTCCTGGCATCCAGGAGAAGGAGCCTCTGCACGCCCAGCACGCGAAGTAGCCTTCCAGCGCCAGGACACGTGTGTCCACGCACCAGCAATGCCGGAGGGATACAGCAAGGGGCCTCCCACCCAGCCGACCCCAGCCAAGCACTTGGCTCCTCCCCCCATTCTGAGCGTTTTGGGGTGGAGCTGCTGTCCACGCTGCCCGGCCCGGGACTCCTCTTCCTGTCCCCGCAGCCTCTGCCCGGTGGGCCCCGCCCTGCCCTTAAGGACTTGCAGCAACGGGGCTGGTGTGGTCTCCCTGCTCCTTTCTCGAACGCTTAGGCGGGGCAGCGCCCCTCCTCGGCCAGTGCCTGGTCCAAGGAAGCCAGCCAGCCCCGCACGCACGCCGAGCAGGCAGACTGTACCTGACTTCGGGGAAGTTGAACAGGGGGAAGAGCGGCCTCAGAAACTCCTCCATGGACTGCAGGATGCTGGGGACCTTCCACCGACCGTGCGCGTCCTGCTGCTCCTGCCAACCCAGACAGGCCCGTGCTCTCGGGCGGTGCCTCGGGGGACCCCACCAACACCCGTCCCGTCAGAGCAGGAGGAGCTGCGGCCCCACAGAAAAGGGTGCCTCGTGGCGGGCCAGGTGCCCGGCCCCTCCTGACCCCCAGCCCCACCCCCCGGTTCCCTCTGCTGGCATGGCGGGTGCTCTGTGGAGCTCCCCAGGGTCCTGGGCACCGAGTCAGGTCGCACTCGCCGTAGGACTCGGAGAGGAGAAAGTGCCCCACGCTGCGAGGAGCCTGAGCCCTCGCCAGCCCCTTGCCACCCCACTCAGCCGGCTGGGGTCCCTGCTCTCCCAGGGGCCGAGGGGGCCTCACCGCAACGGGGCTCAGGATTGTGTCCTCCACGTACACCTTGGCCGGGGGCTCCTGGAAGCGCCTGGCACAGGCCAGCAGGTGCGAGAGGGCGTCGGGCCTCACGGCCAGCCGCTTCACCTTGCAGTAGCCTGTGGGGGACACAGACACACCCTCTCTCTCCCCACCAGGGGACCAGAGCACGGCCGCTGGGGACTCAGGGTGGGGGGAGGGCAAAGGGTGCTTCCCTCCAAGGGACGGCCGCCTGGGCAGGGAGGCCCCGACAGGGCAGGACACATGCGTGGCCAGGGATGGCCGGAGCCTGGGACGCACACCTGCTCGCGCTGCTACCTGTCTGCCATGGGCTCAGCTGACCCCTCGCTCCCTGTGGGTGGGGGCTGGGCAGGGCTGCACCCCCAGGCTCAGGGCTCCCCACCGGGTCTTTGTCTTTTTGAGTGAAATGTCTGCAGGGAGCCCCGACCTTGGCATCCACGTGTGTGGGGGGGGGTCCAGACCTGGCCGCCTGCTCCCGCCGCCCACCTGCAAACAGCCACTCACCGCCCATCTGCTGCATCTTCCCCTTGAATGAGGGGAAGGACCTGGACTTTTCGTAGGCGGCGCCGTACAGATAGGACCTGCTGGCAGGACGCGGCCAGTCACAGGCCAGTCCCCAGGGAGGCTTCACTGCCCGGCTCGTAGGGTCCCCGAGGAGCCCCGGTGAGGCTGACCCTGAAGCCACACAGCCCCAGCAGGGTCCCTCCCCACGCCACCCCACCCCACGAGTGGCTCGTGGGCAAGGCCGGCCACACTCTGCCACCTGGTCCCCCCTCGTTGTGGGGGGCTTGGAGCTCAGCCCAGACCAGCAAGGGCAGCTGCCCAGCCTCCGCCCCCCCCAGAGGTTGGGACATCCAGGCACACCCAGACCAGAGCAGACGGTCACGGGAGGCCGCTGCCCTGGCCCTTCTCGCCTGGCCCCTCCAACAGGACTGGACGAGGGCCCTCAGTGTCCCCTGGCCACCCACCCCGTGTCCATCAGGGGCCTCCGTGTGTGTCCACACCCTTCTCGGGCCAGCAGGCCCTGCCCCGGCCCTTCCCGCCTGGCCCCTCCAGCAGGACTGGACGAAGGCCCTCAGTGTCCCCTGGCCACCCTCCCCGTGTCCATCGGGGGCCTCCGTGTGTGTCCATACCCTTCTCGGGCCAGCAGGCCCTGCCCCGGCCCTTCCCGCCTGGCCCCTCCAGCAGGACTGGACGAGGGCCCTCAGTGTCCCCTGGCCGCCCACCCTGTGTCCGTCGGGAGCCCGTGTGTCCACACCCTTCTCGGGCCAGCAGACCCTGCTGCACCCACGGCCGCCCTCCCCGAGAGGAGCGTGGCTCGGGAGCCAGGAGGCCCCACCTGTCCCGGGAGAGGTGCAGGAAGATGATCCGGAACATGGGCGAGATCTCGCTCAGGAGGTTGAAGTGCTGCTCCGTGACGCAGAGGTTCTTCCAGGCCTGCGTGGGGACAAGCGAGCCCTGTGAAGTGCCCGGGACGCAGGCCTGTCATGGCGCCGGCTCCACCGCGCGTCCCTAGACAGCAGCAGAGGCTCGGCTCCGCGCTGCGCCCCGCCGGGCCGCGGTCCCGTGACGCACGGCTGCCGCACGGGGGCAGCAGAGGCAAGCTGGCGGCCCGTCTGCATTTCACGTTTTCTCCGGTTCTCAGCCGTTAGAAACCCGCCGCGCCTGACACTGACACAGCGCACGGCGCAGAACAGAACAGCGCACAGAGCTCCCCGGCAGAGCCCTGCTTCCTCTCTGTCTTCCCTGCCGTCTCCTCCATACCACACGTGTAGACACGCATGTACAGACACATGCACAGGTGCATGCGTGCACACAGAGACACACACAGAGATGGGCACGGCAATGACGCGTCTGTACCCTGCACCAACAGGGTCGATTTTCACTCTGTTGCCCAGGCTGGAGTGCCCTGGCGTCAGCCTAGCTCACAGCAACCTCGGACTCCTGGGCTCAAGCGATCCTCCTGCCTCAGCCTCCCGAGTAGCTGGGACTACAGGCATGCGCCACCATGCCTGGCTAGTTTTTTCTATGTATATATTAGTTGGTCAATTAATTTATTTCTATTTATGGTAGAGATGGGGTTTCGCTCTTGCTCAGGCTGGTCTTGAACTCCTGACCTTGAGTGATCCTCCCACCTCGGCCTCCCAGAGTGCTAGGATTACAGGCGTGAGCCACCACGCCCAGCCTTGATATGTGTATATATTTTCTATGCTGCTGAAAATAGCATCATTTAAAAACGTTTCATTTACCGGTTGCTTGTAACTGGCGCCTGGAACGACGACGCCGGCTGCTCGGCCTGGCAGCCTACGGTGGTGGCCTTGGCAACTGCGCGTGTTAATCCCGACATCAATCTACAGACTCGTCTTTAAATCTTTAAAACACTTTTTCTGTATCAGATCCTGGGTGAGCAGTGGTCTCAAGGCTCTCGGGGGTGTTGTCCCCACCCACCCCACGTGCGGGACTGTGAACGGCCACGCCTGCCTCCTTCTCCGCCCACGCGTGCGGCCCTGCCGGTCTCCTGTGCCGGACAGAGCGCTTGCGCCAGCAGCTCCACGCTCGGAGAAACCTGGCCACGTCGTATGTGAATGATGTGACCTGGGGTTCTTAAAAGATACTCTTTATCAGGTTAAGGAAATGTTCTTCTATCTTCATTTTTTAGACCGTGAGTGACGGTGCTGAGTCTTTTTTTTTTTTTTTTTGAGACAGAGTCTCGCTTTGTTGCACAGGCTAGAGTGAGTGCCGTGGCGTCAGCCTAGCTCACAGCAACCTCAGACTCCTGGGCTCAAGCGATCCTGCTGCCTCAGCCTCCCGAGTAGCTGGGACTACAGGCATGCGCCACCACGCCTGGCTAATTTTATATATATATATTAGTTGGCCAATTAATTTCTTTCTATTTATAGTAGAGACGGGGTCTTGCTCTTGCTCAGGCTGGTTTCGAACTCCTGACCTCGAGCAATCCGCCCGCCTCGGCCTCCCAGAGTGCTAGGATTACAGGCTTGAGCCACCGCGCCCGGCCTAGTGCTGAGTCTTGAGAAGTGCATTTGTGGCAGCGAGCAAGGCCCTGCCGTCTTTCTCTTCTTCCCGCCACTGCAGCGAGTCCCAGGGGAGTGAGTTTCCAACACTGAACCCCACGGGGCACGCTGACGGACCCTCATTTCTACAACTGGTTTCATTTGCTGGTATCTCGTGAAGGATGTTTGTGTCTGCGTCCGTGAGGTTTTCCTTTCTTGCGCTGTCCTTGCCAAGGGCCAAGGCCCCCTGGCCCCGGACGAAGAGCTAGGAGGTCCCCCTCGTTTCTGCTCCCTGGAGAGCTTTGAGAGACCGTTTCCTCCTTCGGTGTTTGGGATAATCTTCCTGTGAGGCCACTTGTAGGAATGTTTCTAATGAAAATCTGTTTCTCCAACAGATACTTAATTTTTCAGATTTTCTGTTCTTCTGTCAGCTTTGGTGCATTGTACTTCCTTGAGGAAATTTGTCCGTTTCCTCCAAATTTCAAATGAATGGAGTAAGGCTGTGATCTCACAGATGTGGCTTCCCGTCGCCGGCGTGGAGACGTGTGCTTTCTCCTCTTTGTTTAGCGAGTCTCAGTGTTTATCAACTTCGTTAGTCTTCTCCTTGGAGCCGGCTTTGCCCTGGATGACCTCCGCTGTGTCGATTCTAGCCTCCGCTGTGTCGATTCTAGCCCCGCTGTTTCTGGAGCTGTGTTTATTTGCGCCCTTCCATCTCCCTCAGCTGTGACTCGCTGTGTGAATCCAGCTTAGCTCGAGGCTTTCTGGGCTTGCTTCTCGTGTTTGGGCCGCATTTCCCCCTAAGCCCTGTTCTCACCGAGTCCTGTAAGCTCTGAGGTGCAGGATTTTCGTTCTGAGCCCGCCGAGAGTGTTTCTAAATTCCAAGGTGGTTCTTCCCCGACCAAGCTGGTGACCGTGTCGCCTCACTGCCAGGCAACGGCGCTTTTCACAGACACCTTCTCGCTGCCGGTCTGTGGTTTAATCTCACTGTGGCTAGAAATGGTCTCCATCCTTGGTCTGCCGAGGCTGTGTGGCCCCGGCCTCGCTCGCACGGCGCCTGTCCCCGGTCAGAGGCTGCGCGGACCCTCCCGGTGCTCGCCGGTTTCCGTCCACTGGGCGCGCGAGCACCGAGTTCCAGCTCACCGCGAGAACCACGGCTGAGCCGCCGCTCCTGCTTCGTTTCTGCCGTGACGTCTGGTCAGATTCGAAGCTCTACCCTGGGTGGCCTGGCCTGCGGCCCTTGCTGGGCTGATCCTCCTGTCCGTGCGAACTGTCCCCGTGTACCCAGAAAGCCGTCTCGCCGTGGCGCCTGGTGGCTGCCACTTGAGCAGCGTATTCGTGGTTTATGTGTTTTTTCTCACCTTTTATTTTCAACGTGTCTGTATCCCTAGGTGCAAAGTGCACCTCTTTAATCTTTCAAGAAGCAATTAATTGGATTTTTCGTCCAACCTGACAATCTTTGGCTTGGGGAATTCAGTCTATTTGTACTCACGGTAATCACAAACGTGTTCAGGTTTGTATCTGCTATTGTACTGTTGGTCTTCTACCAGAACCTTCTGTTTTTATATTCCAACTTTCTCTCTTTTTGCCTACTTTTTGGGTTAATAAAATATTACTACATATAATCTTTCCTTTTGAATGACCTAGTTACACATTTTGTTAGTGGCTACCCCCAGGGATCATGACATTTCCCCTGCTAACATCTGATACTTCCCTGGTAGCTGCAGAACCGGGCAACCGCCCCCCACACCCTGTGCCAGCTGTGCCACCGCCCCCTGTCCCCAGGGCTGGGCTGGCCCTGCACACCACCGGGGAGGAGACTGGCTCTCAGCCCGAAGGTTTGCTCCTGCCAGTGACACTGGCATTTGGATGTCACATGGGGAGCAGGGAGAGCTGCCCCCGCCCCACCCCCACCAACAAAGAACTGTCCAGCAAACACAGCCCTGGATGAGGGATAAGAGATCGGATCCACCCCAAGGAGGGGACAACAGAGGCAGTCAGGAAGGAAAGGAGGTTCGACCATGATCTGGGAAATTCCAGTTCCTGCCTGCTAGTCCAAGTAAAAGAAAAGGTGCCATCAGCTGTGACAGTACACACATTTCCCAGGTGACTTGGCTGAGGTTCCTAGAACACGCTAAAGCAAGCTCCTCACCCTCACTAAGACCCTGGGGTCTCCTAAGCCGTCCCCACCGAGCGCCAGTGTCTGGCACTGTCCCCTGTCCTGGCCTGGCGGTCGGTCCTCAGCTGCAGGCCCTGGGCTGGGCGTCTACAGCTGTGGGGCACCAGCCTCACTGCCACCTACCAGAGGGGCTGTCACTGCCCCCACAAGGCCTGTGGGCACGCTGAAGCTCTGAGCGGCTGAGCAACCCACTCCGACCCCCACAGCCAGAAGAAGGTGGAGCAGGGCTGCAGCCCGGCTGGAGGGATCACAGTACGGCTGGCCTTAGACAGGGAACCGAGGGCTGTGGCCTCTGTCTGCAGGGGGGCGGGGGGCTCGTGGAGGGGCAGGATCAACGGCGTCCCCGCCGGGTTACCTTGGACACGGCGGCCAGCCTCTGCTCCACGCTGGCGAACAGGCTGGTGGAGGTCCTGTCCTGGCGCCGGAGCTGGTGCTGCAGCTGCAGCAGCGCCGCCATCTGCGAGCTGCCGGTGTTGGCCGTGGCCACGAGCAGGACGTCCCGCATCATCTCCGAGGCCGAGCAGCTCTGCGACAGGCGGGGGGGCGGGGGGGGAGCGGGGGGGGGGGGGGGGAGGAGGAGGGCGGGGGGGGAGCGTGGGTGGGCGTGCCACGCAGTGTGGCCGGAGCCCAGAGCAGGGTTAGGCAGAGCAAAGCCAGGGCGCTGGGCTCCCGGCCCCTGCCGAGCCGTGGGGGCCTCCCTGGTGCACTCTGCCACGCCTCCCCAGGGCCTACGCAGGGGCAGGGCACCCCGGCCCTCCCTGCCACGTCTCCCTCTGTGCCTGCCCCGGAGGTGCAGGCACGGGTGGGCGAGCGAGTTCTCTGCTGCTCGTGGACCCCCAGGGGATGGGCTTGGCCACAGCCGGCAGCCAGCAGCCCGCAGCTCTCTCCCCAGCTGAGCACCAGGCCCACACCGCACCTGAGATAGCGCCAGGAACTGGCAGGCGGTGGCGGGGTCCAGGGTGCCGACGCACTCCACCACCTCCAGGCTGGCAGCAGCCGCCACGTCCAGGAGGCTGCTGGCCAGGGCCACCTGCAGGCACTGCAGCAGCACCTCCGACGCCTGCGCCAGGAACCGCCGGGCCAGCACCGACCTCCGCTGCGGGCACAGGCTCAGGCTCAGGCTGGGCTGGGCTGGGAGGGGGGCGAGGCCTCGCCAGGGGCGAGGGGGAGGCAGGCTGTACCTTCAGGGCCTCGCCTCTCCGGCCGTGCTCCCCGAGGGCCGCTTTGGAGGCCGGCGGGGTCCTGCTGGACTTGGCGGCGCCTTCCTCCTCGACGTCCAGCTGCAGAGATGTCAGGCTGGTCAGCTTGGCGCCCACCTGCACGGTACAGAGCAGTTGGCCTGGCGGAGCCCGCCCCGCGGGAGGCCTGGCCCAGTCGCCCTGCGGGGTCCCTGGGGAGGGCCCCCCCCCAGGCCGCCCGCCCCCCCACCCGCTGGCCCCCAGCAGCCAGGCCTGACTGAGCCGACTGGGCCGGCCTAGAGCCTGGACGAGAGGAAGCCGCAGCCAGTGTGGGGAGCGGCGCTCGAGGAAGCTGGCAACGGTGCCCCTGGTCACTCTGGTCAGTCTTTCGGAAACACCTCCCAGCACGCCGGTGCCGGCTGGGGAAGGGGCGGCAGAGGCCCAGAGAGCTCAGGCCGAGGGGGAGCCCCGACCCACGGGCCACCAGTCCCAGAGCCGTGTGCCCAGCCATGAAGCTTCAAAACGTGAACGCCCCGGTTCCCACTGCGCTTTTGCTTCTGTCTCTCAGGCGCAGGCGCCAGGGCTCTCACAGACGGGCGGTCGGGCACCTACCAAGACGCCCTCCTCCCAGTAGCAGGCGGGACGCACGGGGTCTGCTTGCGTGGCCAGCAGGCGGAGGGTCCTCCCGGCCAGGCCCAGCAGCCGGGCGCGGATCTCCACGCAGCCCCCACTCAGCGGCTGCAGACTCTCTAGCTGCGCCAGCGCCGAGTGCGCCAGGGTGCGCTTCAGCAGGAACCATTGCTGCAGGGACACGGGCACAGCGTGGACACGGGGCCCCGGCACCGCCGTGCACCCACCCACCTGCCCTGGGGAGAGCCCAGCGAGCCCACCCGCGGATGCCACCGGGCAGCGGGGGTGTCCGAGAGCAGGCGGAGAGACGCCTCTGCTCTGGGGGGGTGTCCGAGAGCAGGCGGAGAGACACCTCTGCTCTGGGGGGGGTGTCCGAGAGCACGCAGAGAGACGCCTCTGCTCTGGGGAGGGCTGGGGGGACAGCGTGGTGGGGCAGGGTCTCCACGGCATCGGCGCTGGAAGGCCACAGACGTTTGCTTACGTGACCATAATTCAGAGCTCACTGACAAATCAGGTTCAATTTTAGGGCTGTCTTGGGCTCATTTATATTTATGCAAAGTTAATTGAATATTGCTATTTCATGATATCTGAGAAAATAATTACTCAAAGCAAATGCATGACTTGGGGAGGAGCGCTGTCAGGCCCTGTGGAGGTCATGGGGTCACACAACCTCTATCAGCCGACCCAACGGCCTTCGGCGGCGGCCTGGAAGCCCCCAGCGGCCCGGGCTGCCCAGGCAGGGAAGGCTCTGGGTTCCCACCGCTGACCCGCTCGCACGGCCAGGCATGGGACGGGGACCAGCCCTTCTGGAAGGGGGCTCCCTCAGCTCCCCCGGGCCCGGCGTCTCTCCCCGGGGACTGTGTCTCCAAGGCCGAACTCACCAGGCTGGTGGAGGAGCGGTCGCTGTGGCTCTCCAGATAGTCGGCCAGCAGCTTCTCCAGCGAGCCGCGCTCCATCTGCCGCAGCTCCTCCTCCCAGATGCGCTGCAGCACGTCCAGAGACGCCTCCACCAGGTTGAGCTTGTGGCTGGCGAGTGCCCTCATCAGGGGCGTGTTGACGTTCTGCAACTGAGGGCCGGCAAAAGCGCACGCAGTCAAAGCCCCAGCTTCCCGACCGCGCCGAGCCCACGCTGGCGGCTCCGACCCAGGAGGGCTGGCCGGCACGCGGTGACGATGACGCGCAGTCTAAGCGTGAGAGCGACACGTTCCGCCCGTGGACACAGCCACGAACCACGCAGCACCGAGCTAGCCAGCGAGCCCCTCACCCACATCCCGTCCCTCTGAATTCGTTTGCACTTTCCGCAGTTCTATACAAACGGGATCGTGTGGTCTGTACTCTGGTTCATCTCGGTGTCATTATTTTAAGAGCCTCCCATGTCGCTGCACGGCACACCTGCTCCTCCTTCGGCCGGCATCGGGCCGCTCACGGATGTGCCTCGCTCACCCGCCAAGTGTTATTTCCGCCTTTGGGCTGGTACACACAAAGCTGCTACGGACGTCCACGTCCAAGTATTTGGGCGGATATCTGCTCTCACCTCCCTTGGGCAAACTCCTGGGAGTGGACTGGCTGGGCGCGGGGCAGACCTGTGTCTAACCTGCCGTGAAACCGCCGGGCGCCCCCAAAGCAGCCGCGCCGCTCCACAGCCCCACCCGCGGCACTCGGGCGCCAGCCGCGCCACAAGCCCGGTGTCGGGCGTGTCAGTCTCTCCAACCACGGTCATTGTGAGAGGCGCGTGGTGGCCTCTCCTCATGGTTGTGATCTGCATTTCCCTAGTTGACTGCTGAGGTTCATCATTTTTTCATGTGCTATCTGCCATCTATGTATTTCCTTTGGGGAAATGTCTGTTAAAGTATTTTGCTCATTTTTTATTGGGCTGTTTTCTTGTTAACCTTTGAGAGTTCTTTATGTATTCTGGACACAACACCTTTATCAGGTACCTGATTTGTAAATATTTTCTCCCAGTCTACAGCTGGTCTCTGCATTCTCTCAGATCTCTTTTGAAGAGAAGTTCATTTTATCAATTTATTCTTCTGTGACTCATGCTTTGGGCGTTGTCTCCCAAGCAATCTTTGCCAAACAAAAGGTCACAAAGGTATTTTTGTATGTGTTCTTGTAGGAGTTTTACAGTTTTAGCTCTTATATTTAGCTCTATGATCCATTTTGAATTGATTTTTACATATAATGCAAGGTATGCACCGAAGTTCATTTTTTAGATATGGATGTCCAGTTGCTCCGGCACTGTGTCCAGAAGGTGCCTGTCTTTCCTTTGCCAACTTTGTTGAAAATCAAGTTTCCTCCGTGTGTGTGTGTGTGTGTGTGTGTGTGTGTGTGTGTGTCTATTTCCGGGTTCTCTATTATGTTCCATTGATCTCTTTGTCAACTTTTACACTAAAACCACACTGTCTTGATTCCTGTAAGGTATCAAGGTAGCGTCAGACCTCCAATTTTGTTCTTACTTTTCAAAGTTGTGTTGGCCACAACTTTGCATTCTCATATGAATTTTAAAAATCATTTTGTTAATTACTACAAAAAAAAAAAAAGCCCACAGTGATCTTCATCAGGAGTACAGACAACTTAGGAAGAACCAAAATCTTAACAATATTGAGTCTTCTGAGCCACAAACACAATGAATCCTTCCGTTTATTCAGTTCTTTAATTTTTCTCAGCAATATTTTGTAGTTCTCAAAGTATACATTTTCACATTTTCTTGGTCAAATTTCAGTCTTTATGCTGTCACAAATGATATTATTTTTTTAATTTTTAATATCTGTTCCTGGTATTTAGAAATGTACAACTGATATTTGTATATTGTTCTTCTATCTTACAACCCTTACTAAACTCACTTATTAGTACTAGTAGGTTTTTTGGATAGAGTGCATATGATTTTCTATACAGATAATTATGTTACCCGTGAACAAAAACAGTTTTACTTCTTCCTTTCTAATCTGGATGCTTTTAACTTCTTTTTCTTGCCTTACTGCATTGCTAGAACCTCCAAAACAAGGCTGAATAAAGTAGTAAGAGGACAGGCACATTCTTGTCTTAGTCTTTATCAAAGGGGCCTTCATTCTTTCACCAATAATTGTGATGTTAGCTCTAATTTTGTCAAGATGCCCTTGACCAGGTTGAGGAAGTTCTTTTCTATTAACAGTTTTCTAAGCGTGTTTAGGAGGAAGAGATGTTGAATTTTTGTCAAATACTTTTCTTACATCTACTAATGTGACCATATGGTTTTTATTTGTTAGTTTTTAAAAAATATGGTAAACCCAATTTTGGTTGATTTTTGAATGTTACTTAAACTATTCTTGGGATAATCCTAACTTGATCATGATGTATTTTCCACTTTATGTATTGTTGGATTTAATTGCTAAAATTTTATTTACAATTTTTGTACCAATGGTCATGAGAAATGCCAATCTTTAGTCTTGCTCTTGGTTTTTGTTTTTTGTAACAGCTTTATTTGTTTTGGTAGGGTAATATTCGCCTCATAGAAAAATTGGGATGTGTTTCCTTATTTTCAATTTTCTGCATAGAACTGGTATTTTTTTCTTAAATATTTGGGAGAATTCACTAGTAATCTGAGCTTGCCATTTTCTTTGTGAGAATACTTTTATTAACCAATTCAATTTTAAAAATGTATATAGGGCTATTCAGTTTATCTCTTTTTCAGTGGGCTCTGGCAGTTTGTGCTTTCAAAGAATTTTCCTATTTGATCTAAGTTGGTGAATATATTACCATAAAGTTGTTTATAATAGTCTCATCATTCCAATATCTGTAGAACCTATGGCTATGTTACATCTCTCATTTCTGACACTGATCATTTCTATTCTCTCTCTTTTTCTGATCAGTCTAACTAGACGTTTGCCAATGTATTGATCTTCTCAAAGAACCAGCTTTGGTTTTATTAAATTTCTCTTTTATTTTTCTATTTCACTGATATCTACTCTGACCTTTAATTTTTATTCTTCTACTTATTTGGGGTTTAGTTTGCTCTTTTTCTACTTTTTAAGGTGGAGGCAAGGCAGTTGCTTTTGGATCTTTTTTCTTTTCTCATATAGGCATTTGGTGCTACAAATTTCCCCCTAAGTATTGCATTGGCAGCATCTTAAAAATATTGACATGTGATTTTGCCCTTCAGTTCCAAATACTTTCCCTTTTGACTTTACAGGAAAATGGAATATACATTTCTGTTGCTTTCACTTATTTGTGAGAATCCACATTTTCATTTGGCATCATTTTCCTTCTGCCTGAAGGACTGACTTTGCAAGTTCTTGTAGTGCATTCTGCTGGTAACACATTTTTTTTTTTTAGCTCTTGAGTGTTTGGAGAAACATCTTTATCTCACCTTCATTTAAAAATGGGTATAGAATTTTTCTGGGTATAGAATTTTTGACAGTTTTCTCTCTGCACTTTATAGCTGCCCCTTCACTACCTTCTCCACTTTGTTGTTTCTGGTGGAAAACCCGCCGACATCCAGCCTTGTTGCTCTGCATGTGACCTGTCGCTCCCCACCCTGCCCGCTGATCTTAAGATGCTCTTTTCATAACTGGTTTTAAACAACTTGCTCATGGTGTACTTTGGTATAGTTTTATTCTTCTTCATAGTTCTCATGCTTGGGAATCCACTGAACTTCTTGGATCTGTGGGTTTATATTTACTTTTATCAAATTTGGAAATATTTAACTCATTAAATATTCAAATTCAAATATTCAATTATTTTTCTCTTTGCTCTTGTTTCCTCTTTTCCCGGGAGTCCAGTCACACCCGTGTTCATGCACTTAGAATTGTTCCTTAATTCACTGATGTTCTGTTCATTTTATTTTTGTTCTTTTCCCTTTCATTTCATTTTCCTTTCCTTCCTCTCATTCTAACAGTTTCTATTGCTGTGTCTCCAAGTTCTCCGGTCTTCCCTTCTGCAATCTCTGTCATTTATCCCACACAGTGTATTCCTCATCTCACAAAGTATAGTTTTCACCTTACAAGTTCATTTTTTTTCCTTTTTCTTTTGTCTCTCCAATGTCTCAACTTTACTTTCTAAACATAGAGAATACAGTTTTAGTAACTGTTTTAATGTCCTTGTCTTCCAATTGTAATAACTGTGCCAGTTCCGGCTAGGTTTTCATTGATTAATGATTCTCCATAGGTTGTATTTTCCTGCTTTTGTACCTGCTAATTTTCTAATGGTTTCCAGACATTGAGCAATTTACCCTGGGGGCTGCTGGGCATTTGTGCATTCCTACAAAATAAATGTTCTTGAGTTTTGTTCTGGGACAGTTACGTTATCTGAAAACAGTCTGGTCCCTACTTCGTTTGCAGGTTTCTCAGGTGGCTCTGCAGTGGCGCCCCTCCATGGCTGAGTGTCCCTCCAGGGAGGCAAGGCCTCTAGTTTGTCACTGGTGATGTCCACGAAGCGCTGCTCTGCCCAGCGCTTCGTGGGTCATGAGGTTTTCCGGTCAGGCTGGTGGGGGCAGGGGCTGTTCCCGTCCTCTTTCCTATGACCCTCGGGTGGGAAAGGGCCCCCGTGTGGAGGAGAGCAGCTTCCTCTGGCTGGACACTCAGGCGCAGCCCTGAATGTCTCCGGAGTTTTCCTCCGTGCAGCACTCTCCTCTCCAGGGCTCCGTCCTGCGGACCCCGGCTCCCTCCCCTGGACACAGGCCTTCCCCCAGGCCCCACCAGGCCCTCCTCCCTCCCTGAGGCCTCCGCAAGCCTGGACCTTGACTCGGGGACTGCCATTCGCCACTGTCCATGTTCAGTGCTTTGAAAATCCCTGTTTGGATGTTTTGCCTTTTTTTTCCTTGGTTGTTTCAGATGGGAGGGTAAACCTAGCAACTGTTACTGCATCTCAGCTAGAAGTGGGACTCAGTGGTGTGTTTTCAAGATAGAGTAGTGTGTACTTATGTGACAATGAGAATGAGCAAAAACGTACACCAGGATCTAGGACATACACTTACACCTTGAAGGGACAATAAAGCCTGAATCCTGTGAAGCCTCAGTTCTTCCTCGGCTACTGCTCTCTGGGCCAAGGCATGCGCTTCCAAGTAAAATGCGGTTTTCTGTTCCTCATCCTTCTCATTTTGGGCACATAACCTACACAAGACATCACAGTGCAATTTAGAACAACACTTTCAAAGACTTACATTATTAACACAGACCACATGTGTAATTTTGGCATAATTATACTGCACATCTTATTAATACTTACAATGTTGTAATTGGATGTATTACATGTGAAGATATTTTCAACACATCTTCAAAGATCAAAAAGGAGCTAGACTAATGTACTATATACAATATGAACTGTGTATATAAAAAATTAACTATGTGCTTAAAAAATACTTTAGGAAGCAATTTCACAAGATCACTCATTCTGCCTTTAACTTAACCCTCTGAGGTTCTATGGTGGCAGTGCACTGTGTCCACAGTAACAACCCTGATCTAGGTGGGACTCACCGGACCTACTCTGAGGTCCTACGGTGCAGTGCACTGTGTCCACGTTAACAACCCTGATTAGGGGGACTCACCTGACACTCTAGGTCCTACGGTGGCATGCACTGTGTCCACAGTAACAACCCTGATCTAGGTGGACTCACCTGACACTCCAGAGTCCTACATGGCATCTCACTGTGTCCACAGTTAACAACCCTGATTCTAGGTGGACCTCACCTGACTACTCAGAGGTCTACAGTGGCAATGCACTGTGTCCACAGTAACAACCCTGACTAGTGGGACTCACCTGAACTACTCAGAGGGTCCTACCAGTCATGTGCACTGTCCACAAGTAACAACCCTGATCTAGGTGGACATCACCTGACATCAGAGGTCCTAACAGTGGCAATTGCACTGGTGCCACAGTAACAACCCTACCTGACTCACTGACCCCAGAGGCACGTCGCTCACGTGTCATCCGATCTATGGACTCCTGATATGTCCTACAGTGGCAGTCACTGTGTCCACCAGTAACAACTCTGATCTACAGATGGGACTGACTTGATGTACTCTGAAGGTCCTACAGTGCGCATGACTGTGTCAAGTAACAGCCTGATCTCAGGGGACTCCACCTGACCCTCTGAGCTTCCTACAGTGGCAGTGCACTGTGTCCACAGTAAAGCACCCTGATCTAGCTGGGACTGACCTGACTTACTCTGAGGTCCTACATGCAGTGCACTTGTGCTCCACAGTAACAACGCTGATCTAGCGGGACTGACCTGACTACTCCCTGAGGTCTACAGTGGCAGTGCATGTTGTCCAAGTAACAACCCTATCCTAGGTGGACTGACTGACATACTTAGGTCCCTACGGTGGCAGTGCACGTGTCCAGCAGTAACAACCTCCGATCTAGGTGGGACTGACTGACATACTCTGAGTTCTGACCCGTGGCAGTGCATAGGTGTCTACAGTAACAACCCTGACTACGGTGGGACGCTGTCCTGACCTACTCCTGAGGTCCTACAGGCAGTGCACTGTGTCCACAGTAACAACCTGATCTAGGTGGGACTGACCTGACATATCTGAGGTCCTACGGTGGGCATGCACGTGTGTCCACAGAACACCCTGATCTAGGTGGGACTGACCTGACATACTCGAGGCCTACAGTGCAGTGCACTGTGTCCACAGTAATACCTGATCTAGGTGGGACGTCCTGACCTACCTCTGAGGTTGTACAGTGGCAATGCACTGTGTTACAGTAAGTACCCTTGATCTAGGTGGGACTGTCTGACCTACTCTGAGGTCCTACAGTGGCAGTGGCACGTGTCCACCAGATAACAACCCTGATCTAGGTGGTGACTGTCCTGACCACACTGAGTCTACGTGGCAGTGCACCTGTGTCCACAGTAACACCCTGATCTAGTGGGACGACCTGACATACTCTAGGTCCCTACAGTGCAGTGCATGTGTCCACAGTAACAACCCTGATCAGGTGGAACTGTCCTGACCTACTCTGAGGTTTACAGTGGGCATGCACTGTGTACACACAGTACAACCCCTGATCTAGTGGGACTGACCTGACGCCTGATGAGGTCTACAGTGACAGTGCACTGTGTCCACAGTAACAACCCTGATCTAGGTGGTGACTCACCTGACTACTCTGAGGTACCTACAGTGGCAGTGCACTGTGTCCACAAGTAACACCCTGGATTCTAGGTGGACCTGACTGACCCTATGAGGTCTATCGGGCAGTGCACTGTGTCCACAGTAACAACCCTGATCTAGGTGGGACTACCTGACTACTCTGAGGGTCCTACAGAGGCAGTGCACTGTGTCCAACAGTAACAACCTGATCTAGGTGGGGACTGATCTGACCTACTCTGAGGTCCTACAGTGACAGTGCACTGTGTCTACAGTAACAACCCTGATCTAGGTGGACTGACTCTGACCCTATGAGGTCCTACAGTGACAGTGCGACTGTGTCGCAGCAGTAACAACCCTGATCTAGGGGGACTAACCTGACCTATCTCACTGAGGTCCTACAGTGACAGTGCACTGTGTCTACGAATAGACCCTGATTAGGTGGGACCTCACCTGACTACTTGAGGTCTCAGTGGCATGCACGTGTCTACAGTAATACCCCTGATCTAAGGTGGGACTCACCTGACTACTCCGAGGTCTACATGGCATACACTGTGTCTCAGAAAACCCTGACTAGGTGGGACTCACCTGACCTACTCTGAGTCCTTTACAGTGACAGTGCACTGTTCCACCAGTAACAACCCTGAATCTAGGTGGGAACTCACCTGACCTACTCTGAGGTCCTACAGTGACAGTGCACTGTGTCTACAGTATAACCTATCAGGTGGGCGTGACTGACCTACTTCTGAGGTCTACAGTGACAGGCACTGTGTCTACAGTAATAACCCTAGTAGGTGGAGACTCACCTGACCTACTCGAGTCCTACGGGGCAGTGCACTGTGTCCACATAACACCTGATTAGGTGACTAATAACTGACTACTCTAGTCCTAAGTGACATGACTGTGCTGTACAGTAATAACCCTGATGTAAGTGGAACCACCGACCTCTGAGGCCTACAGGCTATGCACGTGTCTAATAATAACCGATGTAGGTGGACTGTCCTTGACCTTTGAGTTCCTACGGTGGCAGTACACTGTTCCATGTTAAACCCTGCTAGGTGGGCTCACCTGACCGCTCTAGTCTGACAGTGGCATGCACTGTTTACAGTATAACCCTGATGTAGGTGGGACTGTCTACCTACTCATGTAATCCACAGTGGGAAGTGCACTGTGTCTACTGTAACAACCGGATCTAGTGGACTTGCTGACTAATCTGAGGTTTTACAGTGGCAATGCACTGGTTCACAGTAACAACCTGATCAGGTGGACTAACCTGACGTACTCTGAGGTGCACAGTGGCAAGATGCATGTGTCCCACAGTAACTAACCATGATCAGTGGACAACCTGACCCTGATGGTCTACAGGTGTAGTGTACTGTTCCACATAAAACCTATAAGGTGTGACCTGACCTGACGTATCTGAGTCCTACATGCAGTGCACTGCGTCACATTAACAATCCTGATCTGGAGGGACGACCTGACCGTACTAGTAGTTCCTACATGGGCAGTGCGCCATGTCCACAGTACAACCCGATCTAGGTGGGACTCACCGTCCTCTGAGTCCGAACGGTGGCATCACTGTGTCCAAGTACAACCTGAATCAGGTGGGACTGTCCTGACTACTCTGAGCCTACAGTGGCAGTGCACTGTGTCACAGTAAATACAACCCTGACTAGCTGGATCTAACCTCACTCTGAGGTCCTACGGTCGGCAGTGCACTGGTCCACCATGTAACAACCCGAACTAGTGGTACGGTCCTGACCTCTCTAGGCCGACGGTGGGCCAGTGCACTGTGTCCACAGTTAACACCCTGATCTAGGCCTGTCCTGACCCTACTCTGAGGCTACATGGCAGTGCGCCATGTCACCAGTAACAACCTGATCTAGGTGGGGACTCACCTTCTCTGAGGTACTACGGTGGAAAGTGCACGTTCCACAGTAACAACCCGAAGTGGGACTGTCCTGACCTATCTGAGCTTCACGTGCAGTTGCACTGTTCCACCTGTAACAACCTGACTAGTTGGTACAACCTGACCCCTGATCTACAGTGCATGCACTTGTGTCCACAGTAACACCCTGATCTAGGTGGACTGACGACCTACTCTGAGGCCTATAGTGGCTAAATGCACTGGTCACAGTAAGAACCTCATCTATGTGGACTGACCTGGACTCCTGATCCTACGGTGCATGCACTGGTCCCACAGTAACAACCGCTATCTAGGGGACTGACTGAACAGCTCTGAGGTCCCTAAAGTGGCAAGTGCACTGTGCCACAGTAACAACCCTGATCTAGTGGTATAACCTGACCTCTGAGTTTCCACGTGGCGTACATTGTTCCACGTAACAACCCACAGTGGACTGACCTGACCTACTCTGAGTCCTATAGTGACAGTTCACGGTCCACAGTAACAACCGCTGATCTAGGTTACGAACTGACCCTCTGAGCACGGTGGCAGTACAACTGTGTCCACTGTAACAACCCTGATCTAGTGGACTGACCTGACTATTGAGGTCCTACAGTGCAGTTCACGTCCACAGTAACAACCCTATTAGGGGATAACCTGACCTCTGGATTACCACGTGGCAGTACACTGTGTCCACTGTAACACCCTGATCTAGTGGCACTGACCGGACCTACTCTGAGGTCCTACAGTGGCATGCACTGTTCCACCCATAATAACCCTGATCTAGGACTATCCTACCCTCTGAGTTCCTACGTGTGCAATGCACTGTGGTCCACGAGTAACTAACCTGAACTAGGTGGTACTAACCTGACCCTCTGAGGTCCCTACAGTGCAGTGCACTGTGTCCACAGGAACAACCCGATCTAGGGGACTGTACCTGACCCTCTTTCCCTACAGGTGCTAGTGACTGTGTCCACATAACAACCTGAACTAGGTGGTACTAACCTGACCCTCTAGTTCTACGGTGCAGTCACACGTGTCACTGTAACAACCCTGATTAGTGGTACTAACCTGACCCTGAGGCCACAGTGGCAGTGCACGTTGTCCACAGTAACAACTGATCTAGTGGGACTAACCTGACCCTCTGAGTCCTAACGGTGGCAGTACACTGTGTCCACTGAACAACCTGATCTAGGTGGGACGACCTGACCTACTCTGAGCACTACAGTGCAGTGCACTGTGCCACAGTAACAACCCTGAACTAGGTTACTAACCTGACCTCTGAGGTTACAGTGGCACGGCACTGTGCCACAGTAACAACCCTGATCTAGGTGTACTGGACCTTGACCCTCCTGAGGTCCCTACATGGCAGTGCACTGTGTCCACTGTAACAACCCGAATCCTAGGTTTGGACTAACCTGTACGCTCTGAGTGTCCTACAGTGTCAGGCACTGTGTCCACTGAACAACCTGACTAGTGGGACTAACCTGACCTCTGTAGGTCCTACAGTGCATGCACTTTGTGTCCACGTATCAACCTGATTAGTGGGACTAACCTGACCCTCCTGAGGTCCCTACAGTGGCATGCTACTGTGCCACTGTAACAACTGATTCAGGCTGGTATACTGAACCTTCGACCCTTCTGAGGTCCTACATGGCAAGTGCACTGTTCCACTGACAACCTGATCTATGTGGTGACTGACCGACCTACTCTGAGGCCTATCAGTTGCATTGCACTGTGTCCACAGTAAAACAACTCCTGATCTTAGGTGGGACTCACCTGACCTACTCTGGAGGTCCTACAGTTGGCAGCACGGTGTCCACAGTAACAACCCTGATCTAGTGGGACTACTGAAGCTCTGAGTTCTCTACGGTGGCATACACTGTGTCCACTGTAACACCCTGATCTAGGTGGGAAACTGACTACTACTCCTGAGGTCCTAAAATGGCATGCACTGGTCCACAGTAACAACCCTGATTCTAGGTGGATAACCTGACCCCTGAGTTCCTACGTGTGCAATGCACTTGTCCACAGTAACAACCGTGATCTAGGTGGGACTAACCTGACCTGATTCCTACGGTGGAGTACAATGTGTCCACTGTAACAACCCTGAATCTAAGGTGGGCTAACTGACCTTACTCTGAGTTCCTACGGTGGTTAGTACACTGTGTCCACTGTAACAACCTGACTCTAGGGGACTACCTGACCTCTGAGGTCCTACGGTGCCAAGTGCACTGGTCACAGTAACAACCCTGAACTAGGTGGTACTAACCTGACCTCTGAAGGTCCCACAGAGTTGGCAGTGCAAATGTTCCACAGTAAAACCCTGATCAGGGTGACTGACCTGACCCTCTGAGGTCCCCTGACAGTGGCAAGTGCACTGTGTCCACTGTAAACACCCTGAAACTAGGTTGGTACTTAACTACTCTGAGTCGACGTTGCCCAGTAACGTGTGTCGCACTGTAACAAACCCTGACTCGTGGTACTTAACCTGACCCTCTGAGGTCTACAGTGGCAGTGCAACTGTGGTCCATGTAACCCTGATCTAGGTGGGAACTACCTGACCCTCTGAGGTACTACAGTGCATGCACTGTGTCCACCAGTAACAACCCTGAACTAGTGCGTACTAACCTGACCCTCCTGAGTTCCTACGGGTGCATAACACGTGTCCACATGTACAACCCTGATCTAGGTGGACAACCTGACTACCCTCTTGAGGTCCTCAGGGCAGTGCATGTGTCCACGTATAACACCCTGATCTAGGTGGGACTAACCTGACCCTCTGAGGTCCTGCGGTGGCAGTACACTGTGTCTACAGGAACAACCCTGATCTAGGTGGGACTAACCTGACCCTCTGAGGTCCTGCGGTGGCAGTGCACTGTGTCCACTGTAACAACCCTGATCTAGGTGGGACTAACCTGACCCTCTGAGTTCCTACAGTGGCAGTGCACTGTGTCCACTGTAACAACCCTGATCTAGGTGGGACTAACCTGACCCTCTGAGGTCCTGCGGTGGCAGTGCACTGTGTCTACAGGAACAACCCTGATCTAGGTGGGACTGACCTAACCCTCTGAGGTCCCTAAAGTACACTGTGTCTCCAGTAACAGAGAGGCAGCTCCTGAGCCCCAGGCAGGAGCCCCGTGGCACTCACCTCTTCAGCCGAGCACGCTCCAGTTTTATGTCAGCACACCTCTGTCTGTATCCACAAATGATAAATTTTGTCTCGATATCTATCAAGCGCTGGTCCAGCTCCTTCAGCGACATGGAACACTCAGGGTGCTCTTGTTCCGCCGACTCCCAGGCGACCTTGACCTGGAGGCTCAGGCACCTGAGGGGCACATGCCTCCTTAGCGTCTGCCGCTGCCACTGACAGTCCACATCCAGTGTCGAGGCCGTGGCCCTTGTGGGCCCAGGGTGGCCGCCCCCACGCTGAGTCCCCACCCAGTGCCGGGAGAGACGCGCGCAGCCCTTTCTGAAAACCCGCTCCCCAGGCAGGCCACGTCCTTGGGTTACGGCAATGACTCTGACAACCCGACCCAGGCAGCGTCTCCACTGGACGCTCTCAAACACTCCCCAAGTGGCTGCCGGGTAGAAAAGAAAGCCCACGTTTTCTGGCCTGCGGGTGCTGCCAGCAGCGCCCACAGCTGCATGTTCCAAAGGGGACTGAGTTCAGGACGTGGCCACGGAACAGCCACGAATAGCCCTCCCACCAACACAGAAAGCTTCCCCGAGAGGAAGCAGACACTCAATGTACCAAAACAAGACAAAACCTCTGTTGCCATGGGCGACAACCCCAAAGTCGGTTCTGTGGAAAGGTCTATGGCGATGAGTCCACTGGAGTGTGGAGGAGTGGGGGGGGGACACGCACAAGCCAGGAGGGACACACCAGGGTGAGGACTCGTGGAAGACATAGGAAAAGGAGCTGCAGGAACCTCACTGACACGATTTTCTAGGCTCTTCCTGAGCCCCGCGAGCGCCACCGAGGCTGCCCCAACAGGGCGTGGAAGGTTTGTTTCCCGGAGGAAGCCGTAAGGGGGCACAGGAAACTTCCAGAGCTTTCTGGAGCTGCGTGGAAGGCTGTGGCTGTCCCACGATGTGACCCTGATCACAGGTGTGAGATGTGGCGCTGAGTCGAGAGATGGGAGAAGGAGCAAGCGCGACTCTCACGCCCTGGCGCCCTGTGCCGGCCTACCTGGCCTCCAGGTCCGTGACAAGGAAGTCCAGCCCGTGCGCCCGGTTGGGCTGCTCCTTCTTGAGGGCCTCAAAGGTGTCGATGAGCTTCTGGAACAGGTGGCAAGCCTGGGGACAGCGCCAGTGCCCAGGTGCACTCAACGCTCTGTGGACGCCTTCCCACGGAGTGCCACGCCCACGGAGCGCCACGCCCACCTCCCGCCACACCCACTCCCCGCCACGCCCACGGAGTGCCACACCCACGGAGCACCACGCCCACCGCTCGCCACGCCCACCGCCTGCCACTGCCGTCGCCAGCCAGTCCTGTACCTCGGCTTCTCTTCCCGCCTCCTCCGTGGACAGCAGCGTCTCCGCCAGGGTCAGGGTGGAATCGTGCCAGAACTCCTCGCTGCCGCCCAGGCGCTGGGCCTCCTCCACCATCCGCCGCGCCTGCCCGTAGTTCCTCTCCTTGTTGGCCAGCTGCGCCAGGAGGAGCAGGCACCTGGACTCCGCGCACGCGTCATCCAGGGCCTGCGAGAGACGCGCGGAGATAGACTCAAATACGCAGAGGCATCGTGTTTATGGGGCGGGGGAGGCGGGGAGAGAGACGGAGACCACGGAGACGCAGCGCGGGCAGCGCCGGCCTCGCGCCTCCGGCCGCCAGCTCCCCGCGCCCGCCGCTCCCGCCCGGCACCCTGTGCTGTCGCTGGCACCTGCTGAGCATCCTGCACACAGGTTTAATGGAGTTGGTCGCGCTGTCACCTGGATCCCCAGAGTGTGGACAAGGGCTCCTCCTCTGGGGAGGGGTCGTGGTGGCCAGCCTGGCGGGAGGAGGTCGGCTCCCAGAGCCCTGCCCCGACTCCCACCTTTGGGGAGCTCCTGCTGGGGGTCCAGTCCACACCCTAGACACTGCTCCCTGGTGCTAAGAGCAGCTCGGACGGAGCCCAGAGAGACCGGCCTCGCCCACCCTGGGCACCACTGCCGCCAAGGCAAGGTGTGTCAGAGACCCGCTTGGAGGGCGCGGCGCCGGGAAGGCGGCACAGCGCAGGCCGACTACCTCCCTCCACGGTGGAGGCAAGAAGGCAGCAGCCTCTACTCAAGAGGCCGTGTTTGGCGGGAGGGTCCGGTCAGGACCCTCTGCCTGGGCAGCTGCCCTTCCAGATGTGGGCGGGGATGGCAGGAGGGGCTGGGACGGGGCAGGTGTCCTGGCTGGCGCGGGTGCCGCTGTGCACGTTTCCATGTGTGGGAGGGGAGAGGATGCTGTCCACTTGGGAGGCGTGGCCGGGCCTCCGCTCCTGCCCAGCATGGACCCCGCCCAGAAGCTGTGACCCACAGGCGCCAGGGCGTGGCCAGGACTGTCAGCGAGATTGTGCACAGGGCCTGGGTCCCTGGCGGGCAGCCTGGGGATGGGGCTCAGCCCCAGCAGGAAGCACGGGGCTCTAGGCAGGAAGGGGTGAGGGCCGGAGGGGAGAGCCAAGGGCTGGGCAGGGTCCTGCCAGGCAGACGTGGGTGTGGAGGCCGCTGGGGCCAGGGCTCTGGTCTGGGGGAGACAGAGTCTTTTCTGAGGAGTGGGTGGCGCCAGGGCAGTCCCTATAGGCACCCGCCAGAGTCTCCGAGGTCAGCGGGGTCCGAGCGCTGGGACCCCAGAGAGCAGGGGGAGGCAGAGACCCGGACAAGGACGGGGTGGGGTCCGGCGCATGCGGGGCCCAGCCAGGAAGCGGGGCCCAGCCAGGTTCAGGGCAGGGTCGGGGGCAGCCAGGCTCGAGGCCAGGCAAGGCGTGACGAGTGGACAACCTTCCACGGGTCTGGACTCGGCAGGGGAGCAGCAGGTATGCTGGGGGGGGAGCGTGGGGGGGGGCAAGGGGCCAGATCTGGGCCAGGCTCGAGGCCGGGCAAGGCGTGGCACGTGGACAACCTTCCACGGGTCTGGACTCCATGGGAGCAGCAGGTACGCTGGGGGGGGGAGCAGGAGGGGGGGCTGAGGGGCCAGATACGGGCCAGGCTGGTGGCGATGAAGGGAATAGGCGCTTCCTGCCTCCCTCCAAAGTCAGGGCGGGCGGCCAGTGTGGGGCGGGCGTCCACCCATCGTCCGGGGACTGGACTCCAACAGCCATGGAGGCCCTACGGCCACCCAGGAGCTCCTCCACGCCTCCCACCCTCTGGCCTCAGCAGAGACGGGCGTCTCCCGAGGCCACCTCCTGTGCGTGTGCCCGGGGCCAGCAGTGCCGACCCACCTGTGTCCCTTCCTCAGCTGGCCACAGCACTCTCAGCCACAATAGACTCCCTCTTGACTCTGGTATGAACACACCTGTCCCTGCTCTCAGAGACCTGCACTCACCTGTCCTCACTGCCTGAGACCTGCACACACTTGTCCCTGCTACTAGACACCTGCACTCACCTGTCCTCACAGCCTGAGACCTGCACACACCTGTCCCTGCTATCAGAGACCTGCACTCACCTGTCCCTGCTACCAGACACCTGCACTCACCTGTCTGCCTGAGACCTGCACACACTTGTCCCTGCTACTAGACACCTGCACTCACCTGTCCTCACAGCCTGAGACCTGCACACACCTGTCCCTGCTATCAGAGACCTGCACTCACCTGTCCCTGCTACCAGACACCTGCACTCACCTGTCCTCACAGCCTGAGACCTGCACACACCTGTCCTTGCTATCAGAGACCTGCACTCACCTGTCCTCACTGCTTGAGAGCTGCACACACCTGTCCCTGCTACCAGACACATGTACTCACCTGTTCTCACTGCCTGAGACCTGCACACACCTGTCTCTGCTATCAGAGAGCTGTGCACACCTGTCCTGAGAACTGCACACACCTGTCCCCGTCTGAGACCTGTACACACCTGTCCCTGCTATCAGAGACCTGCACTCACCTGTCCTGCCTGAGACCTGCACACACTTGTCCCTGCTACTAGACACCTGCACTCACCTGTCCTCACAGCCTGAGACCTGCACACACCTGTCCCTGCTATCAGAGACCTGCACTCACCTGTCCCTGCTACCAGACACCTGCACTCACCTGTCCTCACAGCCTGAGACCTGCACACACCTGTCCTTGCTATCAGAGACCTGCACTCACCTGTCCTCACTGCTTGAGACCTGCACACACCTGTCCCTGCTACCAGACACATGTACTCACCTGTTCTCACTGCCTGAGACCTGCACACACCTGTCTCTGCTATCAGAGAGCTGTGCACACCTGTCCTGAGAACTGCACACACCTGTCCCCGTCTGAGACCTGTACACACCTGTCCCTGCTATCAGAGGGCTGTACACATCTGTCCCTCTACCTGAGACCTGCACACACCTGTCCCTGTCTGAGACCTGTACACACTTGTCCCTGCTATCAGAGGGCTGTGCACATCTGTCCCTCTACCTGAGACCTGCACACACCTGTCCCCCTGAGACCTGCACACAACTGTCCCCCTGTCTGAGACTTGCACACACCTGTCTCTGCTATATCAGAAACTGTGCACACCTGTCCTCACTGCCCGAGATGGACTCCAGCCTCACAAGGCTTTGATGGCTGTCACTGCATTTTTATGCCATCACTAGTCCTTCTCTTTTCCTGGAATTCTTCCTGGAGACAGGTGACAGGCTGGCTGGGGCTGTAGCTCTGCCCTCCTGGTGACAGCGATTCTGGAATCTGGACAAAGGCTCAGGCCTGCGTGAGGAGGGCGCAGGGGGTCGGCGCTGGCAGGACTGGGAGCCATGATCGAGGCTTGGAGAGAAGGGCCAGTGGGCCTTGTCCCTCCCGGATCCGTCCTGTGGGCTGTCACGGCGTGGCAGACAGAGACGGGGGCAGAGCAGGGCTTCCGTGGGAGCCCCGGTCCACATCCAAGGAGCGAGAACAAAACCCACAAAGAAGAGACCAGGCCCAGGCCACCTGCGCGGCCCTGCCTTCCAGGGCCAGCCGGCCTCTGGCCAAGGACACCGTCCAGGGGCCTTCGGGCTCTCGTCCCCACGCACGTCAGAAAGGGAGAGCTCAAAGGTGCCCTGGAGGCAGGACCCAACCGCGTGCATCTGCAGGAGGCGTGCGGTAGCAGAGAGACCTGCGGCAGTTACTGGAGCAGAGCAAACGTCCAAGCACAGTGGACCGACCTCACGGAGAACCAGGGGGTCTCCCAGCGCCGAAGGTGGGAAACGAGCTGCAGGGGAGGGTCCTGTCTGGGCTGCGCAGGTGAAGGGGCCGTGCGTGGGAGGGGCTTACCCGGAAAGCCGCCACCGCCTCAGCCAGCAGCAGCCGCGCGGGCTGGAACAGGTGCAGCTGCAGCAGGACCTCGCCTTTGAGCAGCCACAGCCGCGGGAAGGCTGTCCCGTCCAGGCCCCTGCCCGTCTGCGAGTTCCTCTTCAGGATCTGCGGGACACAGCACCGTCCTGGCCCTGGCGTCTGCGACCCTCACCCTCGGGGTGGGCTCTGGCCAAGGGGGCGGGACACGGCAGGAGAGGGCGCCCACGAAGTTCCACTGAGGGCTTCCCAGCAGCACCGGGAACTGGGGCGCCTCGAGGGCTCCACCCTGGACGCCGGTGCCCGGTGGAGCCCGCTCCCCTGCTCCGAGCTAGCCGCCAGCGCTGGTCTGTGGGTGCCCCCGCCCAGCCTGGGACGGTCACGACGCGCTGGCACCTGACCCTCAGCCGGTGCCAGGCTGCTGCGCCCGCCCGATGCAGGAGCCTCCGGCTTCGCTCTCGAGTCACACGGAGCACCAGCTCCCATAGTCCCGGGAAGGGCGTCCGGCCTGGCGCCCTCGGTGCCACCAGCCCTTGGGGAAGCCTGGCGGCTGTGCCGTCACCTTGCTTTACAGGCAAACCCGCAAAGGGAAACGTGGCCTGGTGACGGGGCCGTCTGGAGGGACAGCCTGTGACCAGTCAGGTGACGGGACCCTCGGGCCAGCCCCGCCCCGGGGCTTCCCGGCGACATGTCCTGCTCCCCAGGAGCCCCCCCCCACCCCAGCGGCTCTTCTGCGTCTGCGAGCCAGCCCTGGCAGGCCCGTCCCGCGGTGGCCCGAGGTGCACATGGGGGATTCTAGGGGTCCACAGGGAGGGGACGTCCCTGAGCGGTCCCTGGATCACCCACAACATCCAGCACCAGAGCTGTATGCAGTAGGCACTCAGCAAACGCATTCCGCCCTCTGGCTCCAGCCGCCACCCTGCGCGGCAGCTGAGGCGCTGGCACTGCCGGGCCATGGGCGCAGGGTCGGGGGGCTCCGGCAGGTGCGTTAGTTACCTGGTCCTTCGCCACCTGCGGCTTCACCCTGGCGAGGGGGGTGGCAGGCGCCAGGTTTCTCAGCACCCGCAGGCCGTCCTCCAGCAAGGGGTCCCGGTTCTTCTCTCTCTTCAGCGCGATCTCTTTCCTGCAGCTGACGTGCGTGAGCACGCAAGGGAGGAAGCGCAGCGGCCAGTCAACACACGAAAACGCAAATCCCACCGGCGATCAGAGAAATGTGAATTAAAACAGCTACGATGAGCCACAACGTACTCTCGCGTACAAAGACTTTTTAAAAAATCAACGTTTAGCAGCACATCTGACTCCCGGATTCAGGTCTGCGTCCTAGTCTCTCTTCAAGCTCCAGCCCCATGTCCAGCCTGACTGAGACGTCTCGGACGCGGCCATGTGCCCAGACCACGGCTCCCCCGGCCACCCGCCCACCGTGGCCCCGCCGGCGCCTCCTCCAGACAGGCCCCTCCCAGCGCAGCACCAACCACAGGGCTCTGCCTTTCCAGCAGTCTCGGCCGTGCCCGCCCAGCCCCGCGTCTCCGTGCCCGGCCCCAGACCTGCCGGCCCCACGCCACGTCCAGGGCGGCCGCCTTGCAGGAGCCAAGACTACGACAGACTCACGCCGGGCTGCCCAGCTCCGGGCCAGTGGCCCACTCGGCCCACCCTGCCCCACACGGGCCCCTCCCTCGGGGCCTGTGACCCCCTCCCCCTGCCACTCAGTAAGACACAACTCACTGCCCGGACACTGCCCCTCGCAGACACCGTCCCCCCCCCCCCGCCCTGCGTCAGGAGGCCGGGCCCCACTCCACGGCTGGCGGTGAGGGGTTCGCGGCCGCAGCAGCCTTCGCGTCCCCTGGCATCATGCCCAAAGGGGAGAGGGGACCCAGGGGCAGCGCCACACGTGGACACCAGACCCACCTCGCCTGCTCCAGGTCCCCGATGTACACGGACCCCACGGCCTCCTCGTGGTATGCGGCTGCTTCCCTCAGCTTCAGCTCGGAGCACACCAGGGCGAGTCTGGGGGCGGGATGGGGGCGCTGTCACACAGGCCAGGTCACAGGGGACTCACGCGCTGCACGCAACTTGTGACGCAGAAATAAACCCACACCGTGAGGACGCTTCCAACAATTGTTAAAGCCACACAAAACAACACCAGGGGCCGGGTGCAGTGGCTCACGGCACTCTGGGAGGCCGAGGCGGGCGGACTGCTCAAGGTCAGGAGTTTGAAACCAGCCTGAGCAAGAGCAAGACCTCATCTCTACTATAAATAAAAAAGAAATTAATTGGCCGACTAATATACATAGAAAAAATTAGCCGGGCATGGTGGCACATGCCTGTAGTCCCAGCTACTCGGGAGGCTGAGGCAGGAGGATCACTTGAGCCCAGGAGATTGAGGTTGCTGTGAGCTAGACTGATGCCATGGCACTCACTCTAGCCTGGCAACAAAGTGAGACTCTGTCTCAAAAACAAAACAAAACAAAACAAAACCACCAGGTAGCGCTCTTGGATCCCAGGCATTTTCTGCTCCACGTGTCTCACCTGGCCGTGCTCCCTGCCTCTGGGCAGGTGGGGCTCCGGCCTCCTGCTCACCTTCGGGAGGGAGCTCCGCTCTGACGGCCACTTGGGGCTTTTTTTTTTTTTTTTTTTTTTTTTTTGAGACAGAGTCTCGCTTTGTTGCCCGGGCTAGAGTGAGTGCCATGGCGTCAGCCTAGCTCACAGCAACCTCAAACTCCTGGGCTCGAGTGATCCTTCTGCCTCAGCCTCCCGGGTAGCTGGGACTACAGGCATGCGCCACCATGCCCGGCTAATTTTTTATATATATATATCAGTTGGCCAATTAATTTCTTTCTATTTATAGTAAAGACGGGGTCTCGCTCAGGCTGGTTTTGAACTCCTGACCTTGAGCAATCCGCCCGCCTCGGCCTCCCAAGAGCTAGGATTACAGGCGTGAGCCACAGCGCCCAGCCCACTTGGGGCTTTTTTATTTCAAGGTGAGTCCGGCTCACAGGAAGGCTGACACTGCACATGGCCTGTCACCTGCGCTGTCATTCCACTGACCCCCCGAACCCCCGCGGGCACAGACGCCTGCTTTTGCCGCACTTCACACCACCGCACTAGAGGTGCCAGGCTTGCTCAACCTGTGCCCGCTGGGGGTGTCGGTGCCTCTTTCGGTAATTCTCACAATGTTTCAAGCATTTTCACTATTCTCATGTCTGTTACGGTGACCTGTGGTCTGTGGTGTTTGATGTCACCATCGTAATTGTTTTGAGGCAACAACTGCGCCTGTACAGGATGGCGAACCTCCCCAATGAGCGTGTGTCCCACTCTCCCCGCCTCCCTCCCTCTCCCTGGGCCCCCCTATTCCCTGAGACACGGCAAATTAGTGGCCCACGTGGCCTCTCAGTGTGCAAGTGGAAGGGAGAGTCCCGTGTCTCTCGCTTTAAATCAAAGCTTGAAACGATCGAGCCCAGTGAGGAAGGCATGTCCAAGGCCCAGACAGGCCAAAGCTGGGCCTCCTGCACCAATAGCCAGGCTGTGAATGCAAAGAGAAGTTCTGGAAGGAGCTCACAGGGGCTTCCCCAGTGAACACTGAACACTGAGAAAGGGAAACAGCCCAGTTGCTGATGTGGAGAAAGGCTGAGTGGTCCAGAAGATCAAACCAGCCACAACGTTCCCTTAAGCCAAAGCCTTTGACCCCCTTTGGCCTCCAGAGCAAGGCCCTGACTCTTCCGTTCTCCGGAGGCTGAGAGAGGTGAGGAAGCGGCGGAGAAAAGCCTGGAGCCAGCCGAGGCCGGTTCACGAGGCTCGCAGGAAGAGCCGTCCCCACGACCCGACAGCACCAGGTGCAGCAGCAGGTGCCGACAGAGACGCTGCAGCCAGTCGCCCGGGAGACCAGTGACGCAGGCGGCCACGCTAACAACTGACTCTCAGTGCAGGTGGAACAGCCTCACGTTGGAGGAAGATGCCTCCTAGGACTGTCACAGCGGAGAGAAGTCGGCGCCCGGCTTTGAAGCTTCAAAGGACAGGCTGGCTCTCCCGCTAGGGGCTAGTGCAGCTGTGACTTTAAGTTGGAGCCAATGCTCCCTGACCGTCCTGAAACTCCTAGACCCCTTAAGCAAGATGCTGACTCTACCCTGCCCGAGCTCTGCAACTGGAACCACAGAGCCTGGAGACAGCACATCTGTTCACAGTGTGGTTTGCTGATCATTTTAAGCCCACAGTTGAGACCTACTGCTCTGAAAAAAGATTCCTTTCAAAATATTACTGCCCATTGACAATGCACCTGGTCAGCCCAGAGCTCCAATGGAGAAGTACGAGACAAATGCCGTTTTTAACACCTGCTGACACATCTAGTCTGCAGCCCATGGAGCAAAGAGGAATTCTGACTTTCAAGTCTTGTTATTTCAGAAACACAATTTCCAAAGCTATTGCTGACATAGTTAGTGATTCCTCCAATAAACTTGGGTAAAGAAAATTGAAAACCTCCTAGAAAGGAGTCACCATTCTAGATGCCCTTAAGAACATTCATGACTCACAGGAGGAGGACAAACTATCAACACGAACAACAGTTTGGAAGAAGTGGATTCCAGCCCTCACGGAGGACTCGGATGGGTTCAAGACTTCAGGGGAGGAAGGAACTACAGACGTGGTGGGACGGCAGGAGAACTAGAGTCAGACGTGGAGCCCGAAGAGGGGGCTGAACGCTGCAGTCTCCGGACAAACTTCAACAGGTGGGGAGCTGCCGCTCGTGGATGAGCAAAGTGGGTTTTTGAGCTGGGACCTCCTCCTGGGGAAGGTGCCATGGACAGTGTTGAAATGACAGAAATGATCTAGAATATTCCGCACATTTTGGTGATACAGCAAGCAGGAGAGTTCGAAAGGTTTGACTCCAATTTCGAGAGAAGGCCTGCTCTGGGCGAAAGGCCGCCAAACAGCATCTCACGGTGCAGAGAAACCTCCCATGGCGGGAGGCGGCGATCAGTGTGGCCGACTTCACTCCTGTCTTATTTTAAGAAATTGCTAGCATATTTTTTTAGCAATAAAGCATTTTAAAATTAACATAGGTGCAGGTTTTCAAGATAATGCTTTTGCACACTTAGCAGACTAAACTATGGTACAAACATAAACCGTGTGTTCGCCGGGACACCAGAAGCTGTGTGACCCCCTCTGCTGGGGGACTGAGCCCACAGCGCTCCCCGGGACGCTGCCCCCTTAAGACCAGAACATTTTCTTGAGGATCATGTGGAAATTTTAAGACAGAAATACCATTTTCATTCAATCATTTTGACTTACTTGGCTTATGAATCTTAGGCATCTCATTATTTACAGAATAGTCAAAGAGAGAATCAATATTGTTAAAATGCCGCCTATTTTTATGTTGCTTTTCGGGAAATTTTCACCCTAAGCACTTAAACGCCCCCTTGGAAGTGGAGGGGCCGCACCAACCGGAGGTGGTAGAGGTCCGCGAGGCTCTTGCTTTCCACCACGGCGTCCGCGATCAGCACTCCCAGCTGCAGGATGGGGACCGTGAGCTCGGGAAGCGACAGCTTCTGTAGGATGGCCACCAAGCAGTCCAGGTAGTACAGAGTATATGTCTGCGCAGAGACACGACACGCACTCAGGCCGCAGGCGGGGAAGGGTGTCAGCCGCGAGCTGAAGGGCCCTCCTCCAAAGAACTGACTCCACTCTCACTGTGCCGAGCGCCGGGACTTTCTCCCCCGGACGCCCACAATGCCGGAGCTTGGCAGTCCAGACAGTCACCGCTGCCACCACAGGGACAGACCCACAGCGGAAACCAGACATCCCGGCGCAGGGCCACATGTGGGGACACAGGATGCACAGCCAGGGACGGGGCTGCGGGCGTGGGGCGGTGACACTTCACACGTGGCATCGGAGCAGCCCACGCCCGGAGCGTGACGCCCGAAGCCCCTTCCTCGCCACGCAGGGCAGGCTTGGGGCAGACCCAGACCCCAGTGTGCCGGCCGAAACGCGAGATGCTGTGAGAGAACACCCGTGTGGCCTCCAGAAAGGGAAACGTGTTTTAAAAGAACAGGACAGGGAAAAGCAGCAATCACGAAGGAGCAGGTGGATAGCTCTGACTGCGCCAGCACCAATAATCTCCACTCGGGGAAAGACCCGTTAGCCGACAGCTCAGGTGCCAGCCGCCCCGCCGGTCACACTGTGTCTGAGAACAGCGCGTCCCTCACGCCAGCAAGCGAGGACGGAGAGCTCGGCAAAGCACGGGCGACGGACTGGATGGAGCGTCTCACGCAAACGGCCAGGAAATGCAGGGTGGGGGGCGGGGGCAGATGCCGCCAGGTGCCGCCCAAGGCCAAAAGGACAGAGGGGACCACACGAGGCTGGCCATGGTGGGACAGCAGGGCCGCTCGGCCACTGAGGATAATGAGCTGGTGCCACGGCTCTGAACAGTCTGGTGGCAGACAGACACACGCTCTACAACCCAGAAATCCTGCCACAGGCGTGTCGCACGGGACTCGGCTCTGCGACGCGTGTGCAGGAGCATTCGAGACGCCTCCTTCAGAACAGCCGTGAACTGGACGCAGCCCACGCGTCTGTCCACGGGGACATATGAGCCGTGGCCTGACCGTGCCATGGGACACTCCACGGCAACAGACAGAAACAGACTCCAGCACGCAGAACAGCATGGTGACGCCGCGGACACCATGCTGAGGGTGGAAGCCAGACCGAGAGGCACAACACAGAGCCATCCTGCTCTCGGAGCACGAGACCAGGCAGAGCCGCAGCGTCCTCCCCCCAGAACTGCCCGCGTGGCCTCACGTGGCACGAAGGGACTCACGGACGCAGCTAAGACGAGGGCCTGGAGGCAGGAGACGGCCCTGGACTGCCGGGCCCAGGCGCAGCACGCGGCACCCGCGGGGCAGGGCGAGCCGCAGAGGCGGCCACGCGGCCAGAGGCAGAGTCAGAGAGCAGGAGGAGGCTGGAAATTTTTTCCCGGGGCCTGGGGGGTGGGGGGAGCGGCCCTGCGACACCCTGGTCTTGGCCTTTTGGCCTCCGGGGCTGTGCGAGGGCAAATTTCCGTTGTCTCAGCCACCCTGTCATGGAAACCAGTCATGGCAGGCCGCCAACCACGGAGCAGCTGCCGTGCGCTGGGCTCATGAGGGCGGGAGGGAGTGCTTCCTGCTGGGCCAGGGCCGCGGGGCAGGGACCAGGGCCAGCATGGCCCCGTCGGAGGGTTCCGGGCTCCGCCTCGGCCTCGCGTCTCTGGTCACAGGCCTTGTGCGCGTTGGGGGCGCGTGGCCCCGGGCATGGGGGCCGCCAGGCCTCCGAGGATCTCGCTGCCTGACTCACCGGCCTCTGGAGGCTCGCCGCGTTGACGGTCAGCTCGCTCCGGTCCTGCCTGAGCACCAAGAGCACCTCCTCGGGGCAGACGTAGGACGCCCACTCCTCCATGCTGGCCGGCAGCATCTCGGGGCCCCTGCTGGGGACGTGCTGCGGGCGAGAGCGGGTGCCGCTGCGCAACGTGGGCATGAGGCACGCAGGGCGGCGGAGCGGGGATGGGCAAGACGGCGCCGCTGCCAGGGCCACGCCTGACCCCTGGCCCAGACATGGCTGCGGACATTGCGCCGAGCAGTCGCGGTGCCCTTCCTGCCGCTTGCACAGCCAGAGCCGCCGCGGGAGCCGCCCAGGCCGGGGACCTGCACGTGCCAGGCTGGACGGCACCGGGGAGCCGGGCCTCGGCCCACGCAGGCCCGTGGATGACAGCTTCAGAGACCGCGGTGGCCCAGGGTGGCAGGTTTCACGGGACGCGGAAACCGCTCTCCCGGTGCTCCGGGACGTGGCCCTCACGCGGGGACTGACGGCGCCGGCTGCCAGCGGCCTGAGCCCCAGACCAAGGCGGCAGCTTTGCGCAAACCGCACAAGAAACGGGCTGGCGGTGGCCCGGGATTCCCGCCAGGGCGAGGCCGGGCGCGACAGACAATCCCCGGTGCCGTCTCCCCAGGAAGCCCCAGAAGGGACACGCCCTCCGACGCACCTGCTTGGCCTCCCTGCTGCGCTCCCTCTCCTCCTTCTCGCGCGGCTTCTCCTTGTCCCGCGGCTTCTCCTTGTCCCGCGGCTTCTCCTTGTCCCGCGGCTTCTCCTTGTCCCGCGGCTTCTCCTTGTCCCGCGGCTTCTCCCTCTCCGCGACCTTCTCCTTAGTTTTCTCCTTTTCCTTCTTAGACACCGACACGCACGAGCTCGCCACTGTGAAAACTTTAGTGTCTTGGATTAATTTTCCTGCTGTAGTCAGAGAAATCTGGGAACGAACAGAACGCAGATCTGCTGCCGCGAACGCAGACCTTCGCGCCCGCCCCCTGCACCTGGGTGGAGGCTGCACAGGGCGAGGGCGTCCAGGCCGCTCACGGGCAAGGCGGGGGAGAGGCCTCAGAGCAGGGGGCGCGGGGACCTGCGGTGGCGCTCGGCCTGCGCGCCACTGTCAGGGGCGTCTCAGGACGTCAGCACTTGGGCTCCTGCCAGCGAAGCTGCACGGTGGCCACGGCGCCCTCACGGTGGCGGGGCCCAGTCAGGGACCCAGGGAGGCGGGGGCGGCAGCCCTCTCTGCCCGACGCACGTCGGGGGGTTGCGCCACCGCTTGTCCTCGAGGAGACCGCGCCGTGCCAGGCGCCAAGCGTCTCTAATCAACGCGTCTGGACAATTTGGTGGCGCAGCCCTCGGGAGGCTGGGCCGGGGACATTCTGGGCACGGCGCGTCCCACTTTCTGCTCTGCCCCCCGCGTGGGGGGCCACCCCACTGTCCCCCAACACCCCACCACAGCCTCGGGTGAAAGGCCTGTCGTGGCCAATGCTGCCCTGCCAGGACGTGAGGTCCACAGACCTGGACAGGACCAGAGACCACGGGAGGCGCCCGGGGCCCACGGGCGGAGCTGGCAGGAGGGGAGACAGGAAGGCTCCGAAAGCCCATTGGGCTGCGGTTCAGGGCCTGCCACGCTGCTCGGTCTGTGCGCTCGGCCTGGTGACCTGGGGGACAGCGGGGGAGGGGTGGCTGCGGCCCTGGGGGGTGGTGGGGAGGAGGGCCAGTGAGCCCCTCTCGGGGTGCTCTGGCCGGGTGGGGGGAGCCAAGAGGGCACCTGTTGTTAATGCCGATGGGAGCAACTCAACGGGAGAAACGCGAACGTCACGGGAGACAAATTGGCCCGTGTCTCGAAGAGCTTTAGGAAAGATCTGGAAAGCCTGGTTTCTTTAAAACTTGCGCCTGTGGTCCCCCAGAGCCGGGACCCCGTCCCACCTTCCAGATGTGCCTGAACAGCACGTGGGCCAGCAGGCTGTAGTCCACGTAGCTGGCGGCGGAGGGCGACACCACCAGAGCCAGCAGGGTGTAGGCGCGGGCCAGCGCCTCCAGCTGCCGCACGCTGCGCAGCCGCTCCAGCGACGGCATCCTCGCGTCCTTGGAGGCTGGGCTTTCGGGGGACACCTGAACCCTCTCCAAGTCGTCTGTGGAACAGGTGCGGAGGCTCAGAGCCAGCCCCGCCGCCCCCACCCAGCAGGCGGCCCTGTGCCGGCCCTCGGGAAGTCCCTGGCGCCGTGCCGACCGCAGGGCCTGCGCAGGTCTCCGCGGGGCATCGCGTCCCCGCATCCCCAGACTTGGGGACAAGACTCCTCTCCTGGGCGGCGGGAGGCTACACCCACAGCCCAGGCCTGCGGGGTGCGGGTCTGTCCTCAGACCTGCCTGGGCTGCGAGTGACAACCCACACTGCAGCCCAGCCCCGGCCTGAGAGTCGGGGTCTCCAGCCCTGGCCCGCCCAGACCCGTGGACGTGGACACTGCGTGGACGGGCCCACGTCCTCCTCTCGCACGGGCTCCCAGCTGTGCCCGTCCCTGGCGGGGACTGCCTCGGCACCAGCACAGACAAGCCCAGAGCCCGGCCGGCGGCCGGCGGCCCCCACGCCCTGCGCTGCCAGGACACCCTCATTGGCCCTTCTTCCTCTTCGGTGGGAGCTGCTCTCTGGCGAGGGTGGGGCCCTGAGGGACAGGGTGCAGGCACCCTGGGCTGGCTGCAGGGAGCTCACTGCCCCCGTGCTGTTTCCCAGACACCCTGTGTGTCCACCTCGAGCCGGGCAGCTGTTCCATCCCCCCACAGAGCCTCTGCCCTGGGCACAGCCGGGCTGCCTAGCCCCGCGCCCACCCGCTGCCGCGCCAGCCCTGGAGTCACGGCGGGTGACGAGGGAGCAAGGGGTGAGCTGTCCGCACCGGCTTGGCGGTTGAGACCCTCCGAGGGGCCTGGGACCCTGCTCCGCCAGCCCGGGCAGACTCGCTCCGGAGGACGGCCCTGCGCCTGGCCTGGGCAGGGCTCTCCGCCACAGACCTAGGCCGGCGCCAGCCATGCCAGGCGCCCCTCCCCGAGTCAGGGCTCTGGGTCTCCCTGGGCCACCCGTGGCTCTTCCTGGGGACGTGCTGCCGGGAGGGCGGCATGCAGGGAGACGCCTTGTCCTGTGCACACGAGCAGATGGGCCGCCACAGGGCGCTCGGCCGCGCTGGGGGGTGGGAGAGCACCCGGCAGGCGTCTGCTCACCCTCTGGCTGCTGCTCCGGCTGCTGCTGCGGCTCGGGGGCGGCCTGGGGGGGCTTCATGGCCAGCAGGATCTCGATGGCCCACTGCAGGTGGAAGATCACGTCCTCCAGGGGGAACTGCCGGTGGAACAGCCACTCGCTGAACTCCAGGATGCAGTCCACCTTCTGCCACGCGCTCTGCGCCTTCTGTGGGTGGGACAGAGACGGCGCACCCTCGGGGACTGCGCTGCAGATGTTACTTACAACACGAAGTCGGCTTATCGGTTACATTTTTACCCTGTATTTACCGAAGCCTCCTCCAGTGAGACCACTCATGCCACCCAGGCCGAGATCCCCCAGGCGTGGACGAGGGTGGGTGTCAGCGCGTGCAGTGCCGTGGGGAGCCAGGAGCCATGCGCCGTCATGCAAACTGAGCCCCATGCAGACGCCCCGCCCCCGCCGGCCCCGCCCCCACCGGCCCTGCCCCTGCCGGCCTGGCCCCCACCAGGGCACCCGTGGTGCCCCCGCCCGTCTACCCCCACACCACTCCAAACGCACTGAGGGGCACATCTGTCCTGGAAGAGGAGCAAATGCCCCTGAGACCCCAATCCCAGATGCTGCAGCCCCTTGCACCCCTCCGCTGCCCCCTGCCCACGTGGACCCCCTGGATCCCAGGGAGCCGCGGCCTGGGGGCTCAGCCCACTCGCGCCCTGCCCCCAGGTCAGCACTGAAGGGAGGAGCCAAAGCGACTGTACAGCTGCCGCCCAGGTGCCACAGCCAAGACTGTCTGCGATTGAAGCCGGCTCATCGGCAGCGACCCCCGCCCAGCGCACCTGCAGGGCCTGGATGGCGTTGTGGTAGCAGCTCAGCTCCCCATAGACGTTCTTCGAGTTCTGGGCCAGGCGGTGCCACATGTGCGACAGGTACTCCTCGCTCTCGTCCTTGAACTTCTGCATCTCCATGGTGAAGTTCCGGCCCAGCTTGGCCTTCACGATGACCATGTGCTTGAAGATCAGGCTGAGGGGTGGGAAAGGGGGGGTCGATGATGCCTGAACTGAAAGATGAAATTTCAAACACTCGTGTCGCCCCCAAACCTGACTCGTGCGTGTCCTACGCAGACACAAACCAGGGTGCACCCTGCGCTGGCCGCCCACCCCGCCCTCCCTGCACTGGCCTCTTACTGGGAAACACAGTCACGTGGTGGGAACAGGACCGTGGGGGGCCCGGGTGGGGTGGTGGACGACGGTGCGGGACGGGGGCACTCACAGGCGGTGGGCCGTCCGTGGCAGCATCTGCACCGCCTCGTCCAGCACCCGCAGGCCCCCCTCCCAGTCCTCCTGGTCGGCGTGGGTGTGGAAGAGCAGCCCGTACATCGCCACGCGGAGGGAGAGGTCGTCCTCGGCCCCTGCAGTGGGCGTGGGGGCAGGGCAGGAGGGAGGAGGGGAGGATGATGCTCCGTGCCCTGGCGCAGGGCGGCCGCCTCAGCATCTCCGCCACCACGCGGGCCTCCACCTGGAGGAGACAAGAGAGGTGCCACTGTGCGGGTGGCCACCAGGGGCCCCCACGAGAGGGGGGCGGCCACAGGAGCCGTTCCCCTCCCTCAAAAGCCGGGCTGCCATCTGGGGCGACCCTGTCCGAGGCAGGACAGGGGACGAGCCCCAGCCTCTCACGCCTGCGTCTCGCGAGAACCTCTGCCCTGCGGGGACGTGGCCCGTTTTATTGTTTCTTTTATTCCTCTGCCCTGCAGTTGTTTTTGTTTCGTACATGGGCAATTTTTACTTTCTACTCTTTCTATGAGCTTGGTGTTATATCTATTCTATAGTCTACTCTGTAATCCCAGCACTCTGGATGTGCCTGTGAAGCGGGCAGATCACTTCAAGGGTCAGGAGTGTCAAAAACCAGCGTGAAGCACGAGAGCTGAGGACTCGTCTGCTACGCTAAAACAGAAGAAATTAATTGCGCCAGACTAAAAAGGTATGGTAGAAAAAATCAGCCGGCATGTGGGTGGCGCGATGCCTGTATCCCAAGCTACTCGGCGAGGCTGAGCGCAGGAGGATCGTGAGAGCCCAGGAGTTGCGAGTGTTACGGTGAGCGGAGCGACGCCATCGGCACTCCTGATCCCTGGGCAACAGATGAGACTCGTCTCAAAAAAAAAAAGAGTCAACCGTAAAATTTACATAAGAACCCGAATGCGTTCATGATGAATTTAATTAAAATGTTGGAAAACAGCAATAGTAGGAAGGTCCAGCATGACATTCTCAGACTATTTTCTCTTACCATTTGAGTTATCTTAAGGATCTTCCACAAAATTCTCATTAGATGCCATCCCGTTTGACATATAGCACATAATGTGTGAGCGTGTGAGACTTCCACACTCACAATTGAGAATAGCTACTAGTGACTTACTATTTTTCCCAAGACTTGAAAGACCAGGTTCCTACTGTCATGGTGAGAGGTTCGCCAGAAACTGAAAAACCAGTCTTACTGTCATGGTGCAGAGGTTCGCCAAGAACTGAAAACAGTCTTACTGTCATGGTGAGAGGTTCCCAAGAACTAAAACCAGTCCTAGCTGTCGAT